ATTGTCCTCAAAAAACACTCCCACAAAGCTCAGGGCAGGCTTTGCTACTGGGAGGGCAGAGAAGAGTGGGGCAGGGCCTACATGGGCTCCTAGCACAGTAACTGGCTTCTGAACCTGGGAGGAGGCACAGGGAAGTGTTGGCTGCCCTGGCCTGGGACGCTGATAAATATGTCCCTTTGGAGTATGAGAGGCCCCTGGGCTGACACCACCCCACTCAGACTGAGCAAAGTTCAAATGCCTGACCATGTGAGGCATTTGAAGTCTTGGAAACCCAGCTTATTAGATCTGGGGAGGCTCCTATGTGGAAGCACAACATGTCCAGAGCTGCTGTGCCCTCCCTCCCCAGACCACAGCCTGCATGCCTGTGGACTTCCAGGACTGCAATGACAGGACTCCACGGAACAAGGCCACAGGGACCCTGGCCAGGTCTAGCCAAATGGAGGAGGCTGAGCAGTACTCCCGGACCATCCAGATGTCCCTGTCCCGAAATGCCAAGCGGGCAAGCAATCCCAGCACATACTCCCACTGTTCTAGCCTATGTGCCAACCCCAGACACTGGGGGGCCCACCCTGAAAGCCCCCCCAAGAAGAAGTCCATCACAGTCAACCTCACACAGAAATGTGAAACCAAAGACTCTCCAGTCACACCCATGCAAAAACTCATCTCCTTGGTGAGGGAATGGGACATGGTCAATTGCAAACAATGGGAATTCCAGCCACTGCCAGCTCCCCGGAACAGCTCCTTGGAGGAGGCCACCCTGCAGCTCCCCTCCGGTAGTGAGGCTACTTCCCAGTCCAGTACCTCAACTTCCCGGAAAGGTCATTCCACAGCCTCAGAGAAGGACCCAGGTCTGCAGGCAGAGGTTGGAGCTGGAGTCAAAGACAAAGGGCCAGAGCCAACGTTTAAGCCATACTTCCCCACAAAAAGAACTGTCACCCTGAAGGACTGGGGCAAGCAGAAGTCAAAGGAGAGAGGTGAGTCCTGTCTGTCCCATCTTTGACCTAAGTCTCACAACAGGAAAAGAAAAAAACCTTGACCAAGACCACAAAGTGAGTTAGTGACAAAGGAGGACTAAAGCCCTGCATTTACCAATGCCAGCTCTATGCCAAGCAGCAGATACAAATATATGACCAACTCAACAGCATGATTTGAGGAGCTGAGAAACCACATAAGGCATATGGGAAGTGGGGATGGCTATGAAGTACTAAAGCACAAAGGAGGCTGGGGGCTGAAGTGTCAGCAGAGAGAGGAAGAAGCCATGGTGTTTGTGGAACCAGGTCATTTGTCTAGCTGGAGGCCAGACTTCACGTGAAGTGATGGGAGTTAAGACTGAAGGCAAAGTAACCAGAACAGGTCTTGTGACCCAAGTTCAGGACAAGTTCAGTACCTGACACTTTGTTCTGATCCTAAGGGGAATGGGTGGCCACTGCAGCATTTACACACGGAGCAAAATTAACTAATTACAGTAAACAAGGGAGCATGCAAGCAGTCAGGTATAGCATTCAGAAAGCTTGCTCTAGAACCAGAGGAAATGTAGCAGCAGGAGGGGAAGTGTTAGAAGTAGTGAGGTCATTCTAGATTAAATAGGCTAGAGAGGACGAGGCAGATGGAGGTAAGGTTTCTGGCTTGGGTGACCGAAAGGAGGTGGATGCTTACCGAGGTGGGATGGACAGGACAAGGAGCTGAAGAGTGAGGTATGCTGTGTCTGGGGGAGAGGTGCGGAGGACTTTAGGGACGTGTGCCAAGGACTGCCATGATGGGTTGTTTCCTACAGTATTCTGTCGCCTTCCCTTTTAGTGGCTTAAGCCCTGCTTGGAGGGGCCTTCTTGAGCTCTGACAGTAAGCCACAAGTTGGTCTGTCAAACATACTTTTCAGAGTGGGCATATATCAAAGCTTGTCCAAAATGCTCATTTTATAACTTTACACAGATTTCCAGTCCCCCAGCTGGGTTATTATCAGCCTTATTTGATACCAGTCTCAGTTCAACAGAGAAATTTGGAGTTCCTTGAAGTTCTGGAATTTAGGATTTGGCCTGCAATGATTCCAGGGCAACAAAGAGAGGAGAGCCAAGGCAAGCCCCTGCCAATCCAAGGTGCCATTCCTGAGAAGCTGGAGGCAGCAGTTGCTGGAAGGTTGGGGTGACTGACTGTATTGGTTTGTCACCAAAGGTCTACTCCTTGCTTGAGCTCTGAGATGTTTTAAGAGCCCTCTCCCCACTTTGTTTCCACAGAAAACCCTGACCCTGAGCAGCCTCTGCCTGAAGCCAGTGACATAGACAGTGCGGGGGTCATCCTCAAGGTGAGCCACCCTCCTGTGGTGGGCATTGATGGCTCCTGCATGTTCTTTGAGGACAGCATCGTCTACACCACACAGATGGACATCCTGAAGCGCACACTGCCCTCAGCCAGCCCCCTGCCCCGAGGTGAGGATCTGGAGCCAGGCCTGCACTTCCTTGTGGGGATGCCTGAGCCCCACCCAGGGTCCTTCTGGAAGACTTTCCCTCAGAAGCCCTTACTATAGGCTGTCTCTAAGGCCCTACCTGTGGGCAGATGGGGCCACATCCACTCTCTCCTCCATAGAGGTGACTTTCCTGAGTTTCTCTCTGTCCTGGGAAGAGATGTTTTATGCACAGAAATGTCACCGCTTCCTGACCGACATCATCCTGGATTCCATCAGACAAAAGGATCCCAAAGCCATCACAGCCAAGGTGGTCTCCCTGACCAACCAGCTGTGGGTACGTGATAGGCCCAAACCCTGTTCCTTCTCCACTTGTCCCCTTGCCCTAAAATAAGTGGTGCAAGGCAAGAGGAAGCAAGCCAGGATTGGGGTGTGGGGGAATAGGTCAGAGGCAGAAGGGTAGCAAGAAGAACAGGGACAGGAAGACAGGGCAATATCATTTGGATGAAGCTTTGGCCAAGGCAGTATGGCATAATAGTGCTCCCTGATCCCTGCAGCTACTGCAGGCCCAGGGAAGCCCCTGCTCTGCACCCCACTGAAAGGCTGAGAGCAAATGTGTGGTAGGCAGCTGCCCCTGGCCGTGCTTGACAGTGGGCTCTCCTGGCAGACCCTGCACATCAGCCCCAAGCAGTTTGTGGTGGATTTGCTAGCTATCACCGGCTTTAAGAATGACCAGCATACCCAGGAACGCCTGCACAGCTGGGTGGAGGTGAGAGCCACCTGCACCACACTGGGAATGGTGACCCTGCAGATACCTCAGATGGGCACTATGTCTTGCTGCCAGGAAGGCAAGGCAGGCAGCCAGACCTCAGGTCCCTGGGGAAGGGGGGAGGGGGCATTGGGAGGATGGCTGAAATTAGCTAGTCCAGAGTGGTCAAAAAGCAGCATTCAGTATTCATGCTACTTGTTTTTGTAGTTTCCCTCTGGTGATACTAATTTTGCCTTCATCTCTAACATTGGCCACTCAGGGAAGCACATCATATAAGCCCAAAGTTTGGGGATGCTGAAAAATTATTGGGAGTCAGACCATTTCAACAGGTGACACCAACTTCACCTACTTAACCATGATGTCACCACTTTTGTACATTCCTTTCACAGCTGAGCTGCTTTAAAGCATTTTTATAGAGAAAATGAAAATGTTCAGTAAGGGTAAAGGAATGATTCGGGGTTTTTGTTTTTTGATTCCTTAAAATAATTTTAGTGTTCAAAGTTTGTAGTTAACAGTGTAAGTGAAAAAGATTTAGCTAATTTCCTATTAATCTGGTATTTCTATAATCAAGTATATTATTATAATACCTTTACCATAAACACACTAGTGCCACATTATTAGGCCTCTGGCCTGGTTGGAAAAGTGAAATCAGCATCTACGGTGTGGAAAAACAGCGGCAGGAAATGTACATTTTTGACCCTTTGGTCATTCTGCTCACTTCCCTGGTAGTCACTCTTAGCCAGAGCCCTGAGATGCCTTTGGGTAGAACTGAACCCAAGAACATCAACATTTCCCAAGAACTGGCCTTACCCTGTCTCTGTCCCTGCTGCTGCCCAGCTTGGAGGACCCTGCCCACACTGAGCTTGAGTAGGCAACTGGCCAGGAAATCAGAGATAAGACTGACCTTTCTTTCCAGCTCACACTGCCTTTTGCCAGGAAATATGGCTGCTGCGTGAATCTGCTCATCCAGAGGGGCCTGTCTAGGTCTGTCTCTTACTCTATCCTAGGCAAGTACTTACAAGAATGCTAGGGTGCCCAGAGACACTGCCCCCACATATCCCAGGCTTCCAAGACTAATTTGAACCAAAGATGTCCCCAGAACACATGTATCAGTCTATTTTTTATTATAAACAAATAAAAGAGTAAATAACAAGTCAAAGGCCTAGACTCTCTCTCCGAGATGCCAAATACCTAACAATCAGTGAAATAATTTTAGACAACAAATCTAATTGAAAGCTATTCGAAAGGCACTGAGTCAAATAACCAAACTGACCCAAGTAAAAAGGGGCTGGGCCTAGGGAGCCAGGGCAGGCAAAAGTAAGAGCCCTACAGGGGTGGGCTTGCCCCTCAATTTGAGGAGCTTGGCTTTGAGACCAAGGGTTGGGAAGCAGCTGCTGGGAACTTGCCTGTGTTCCTTCTACAGAATGGGGCAGCCCAGTCACTGCCTGGGGTCACCTGGTACTCACCAGCCTAGAGCACAGAAATACCCAACCTCTGCTCTAGCCTAATCCTAACCCACAACTGGGGTGGGAACTAGAGAAGAGACAGAAGAAGGGGACACAGAGCCAGGAGCCCAGAATCAGGGTGTTCGTTCAGGCTCTGCAGCAGACTCCACTTAAGCGGTGCCTGCCAGTCTGTTCAATGGGCATAGACATCAGAAAAGATAATCCAGAGGGTTGGAAGTAGCCCAGGTGCCAGCTATGCCCTGGTCAGAGTAGATCCAGGAAGAGGTGATACTCCTTGGAGCTACTGGCTGCTAGATCCACTTCTCACCTTCGAGCATGGGCTCAGACCTGTGGTGCCAACCTAGGCATGAGTGCCTATTTCCCTGGCTCAGGGTTCAAGTGGGATCTCTGGGGAATGGCTCTGCCCACCCCCCACTTCCACCTAAAGGAAAGACAGTGACAGGTCCAGACTGGGCTGAGAGAGGCTGGTGGGTATGGGACAAAATGGCACTCACATAAAACAAGTCCTCGAGGCCCCTGCCCTGGGCCTGCCCGGACACACAGCTGCTGTCAGAGCCACTGGAGCCACTGGCAGATGGGCACTGGGATGAGACCTCTGAGTCCTCAGAAGCTAGGATTGGAGACTGGGTGAGCTGTCAGCAGGGGTGGCCCAGATCCCCAGTCATGCCCTCCTGCCTCTGGCTAAACCCAGACCTACTCAAGGACGGCTGGCTGCCCAGTTCCACTTCAGCCTCCAGCGCTGTTTCCTCTGGGAAGATGGTAGAATACAGGGGCCAGCGGAGGCCCTGAAGAGCTGGATCTCTGTACAGGTGCAGGTTGAGGGACCCCAATACAGAGCCAGAGGCAGGGTCTGCAGGAAGGGAGCTCGAGGCCCCCAAGTAGGGACTATCATAATCAAATGGGGCCACAGCAATGGAGGCCCGAGAACGAACTTCTGCGTAAGAGAGAGGATCAGGTTGAGACAGGTGAGAATGTACCTGGGCCAAAGTCCTGAGGGGAGTAAAGACCAGGACTGACAGAGGTCCTGTTGCCTCCCATGCAACTTTCCTGACCCCCACTTCATAAGGCTACCTCGGCACTTTAAAATGTAGTTGATGGTGCGGTCGTTGATAGCTTCCTCATTGGGGGTGATGTCCTGGAAGGCTTTGTTCCCCACACCCATGGACTCCATCTCAGCCATGCGCACCTCTGGGTGGAGAATGGGCATAGCTGGGGCCCTTTGTGACCTTAACCTGGCCCTCGGCCTCTATCCATTCCACCCTTAAATAAGCCTTTCCTTGACACCCATTCCCAGTAGATACACCATCCCGTGCACTGAGCTTTTGTGGTGCGATTCTCTCCTCCCAACAATCCTGCAGGCAGGTGTAATTCCCCTTTTAGAGATGAGACCTCTGATACTCAGAGAGTAATACTGTGCCCATGGTCAGAGACAGTGACAGCAGGATTGCTGACTTGGAGGTTCTTTCACCGGCGCTGGCTGCTGCTTCTGCTGCTGGATCTCCTTCAACTTCCCAAACATTCCCTAGGCCCTACCTGAGCCCCTGTGGGATAACAAACTCACCGGGGAGGAGATTAAGGGGTGAAGTAGGGGCAGGGACGTACCCTTGTTGTGGACAGCCTGCTTCCAGAGCAGGCGGGAAATGTCAGCCGTCCAAGCCTGCTTGGTGGCCAAGCAGGCAGCTTGCAGCACAAAGGTGTCCCTGGCCTTGCGACGGCGGAACCAGATCTCAAAGCGCAGGTTGCTATCCCCACAGCACTCAGTGAGGCCAAGGTCTGACATCTGTGTGGCCAGGAGAGGGATGTGGTGAGTCACTGGGAAATGAGGGCACAGGGCGGGGTATGGTGGGCCTACCTTGAAGGAACGCTTGTAGGTAAATGTGTCGATGCCTGTGGGTCCTCGGCGAGGCTTGCTGAAAAGCAGCAGCTCCTCAAAGAGGAAAACGCGGCGCAGGGACTTGTGGCGCCCAGTGCGCACTGTGAACTCATCTTGTCGCACCAGCTGCCCCTGTTCCTTGAGGTTAACCTGCCAAGTTGGGCCCAGTGGGTGCCCAGCTTCTTCAGCACCCTCCCTTGACACCCACTGCACCTGCTCACCATGGCCTGGCATGACTCACATCACAGCCCTGGATGGCATCCATGGCAAGCAGGTCATTGCCATGTCGCAGCTGGAAGCGCACCAGGCTCTGGGCTGCCTTCAGGGCACTCAGTTCCTGCATGGCTCCCCCCCAGGCCCGCGCCAGCTCCTGGAGCAGCAGTGCATACTTGCTCATGCGTTGTATGGGCTTCAGCAGGTAGGAAGCCAAGTCTAGGTGATCCCCCAATGCTCGCTGCTTGTCCTGCCAGGTGGGTGGGAGATCAGGCAGCTTCAGGGTATTCCCGCCATCCCTTTCCCCCTTCAAATTCAGTGTCACCTACCTTGAAGAAGGAGTGACCATAGCTGGTCATCAGGGCATCGGAGCGAGGTTTGTTTTTGCTGTACAGCGCATACATCCCAAACTGCACCCTCTGTGAGGACACATAGCTTAGCCCTGACTGCAAGGGGGCCAGCTCCCTAAGGCTACCCTTGCCTTAAGGTAGACAACTCTCAGCTTGAGAGAGGGCCAAAATGCCAACAGGTGGCTGCCAAGAAGGCCTCCCATTGCAGATCCAATCTGCTTTGCTTTAAATGAGAGGTGATCTGGCAAGAACATGCCCTGTGCCAAGGGGGCTTGTCCACAGGCTCTCTGGGAAAGGAGTCCTGCACCCAGCTCTGCTCCTCCCACAGTTCTGAGAGCACTCTCTGGTCTTAACTCACACCTTGGACTACTCTGCTTACTACACTCAGCCACCTTGATCTGTCTCTTCCTTGACCACTGGGCCTCTTTGCTGCCACAGGCTTTACACTTGCCCTTTCCTTTAATGGGACACTCGGACTCCAGCCCCTACCTCTGCCCTCAGCCCAAACACCAGCTCCTCACAGACCTTACTGCTCTCTCTGGTAACTCACAATCATCTATCTTTCCTGATTGTTTTCCTCCTAGCCCCAACTATAATCTAGAATCACCTTTTTCACTTTTATGTCTCCTCTACTTAACTATGAGCATCCTGAGGGGCAGGGCCCTATTAGTCTCACTTATAGCTGTACCCAACACAAGGCCAGGCACCAAGCATGTGCCCAAAAGCTTTACTGAGTGTGGCAGAATCAGCAGGGGACTTACATGGCGCAGGAAGGCATAGGCTACCCGAAGTGGGTGCTGTGTGCAGGCCTCCAGCTCACGCAGGAAGAAATGGCAGTGGAAGTCATGCAGCTTTTCCAAATTGCCAAAGAGGTGGGCACGCTGGCCACGGAGGCCCTGGGGTACATCGGGGCGGTCCATCTCAGGGAAGTAGTTCTCTATGGTATAGTCAAGGGCACGGACATACTCCCGCTCCGTAGCCACCATCTCTGCCAACACCAGCTGGAGCCTACAAGGTAGGTGAAGTCAGGACCCTAGACATCTGCCCTGTAACTGCCCTCCCTGCCCTGCCCAATGTCTATACCTCTTGGGACTCCTGGGATCAGAGCTGCCTGGCAGAGGCATGGAAAGGGATAACCCTGGCTGGGCACCATTTCCAGCCTCTGGTCTGTGGCAGGCAGCCACAATGGCCGCATGATGGCAGTGGTAGACAGACTCTCTGAGATTTTGCCCCAGATTCCGATCAAGACTGTATGCTTTTCTCAGGGGAGGGGTGGTAAGCGCAACTGGGACCTGACTGACACACAGGCTAGCTGTACTGCCTGTTGGTGGTGGCTTCAGTGCAGTCTCTAGCTTCTGTTCCAGGGCCAGCCAGGTGTCCTGGCACTGTGCCCAGGCCCAGTGGCACTGCTGGCGGATGCCTTCAGAACCCAGCCCCGTAGCCAGAGCCCACATCTTTCGGAAGTGGACAGAAGGCAAGTCAGGGTGCTTGGTCCAGTGTAGCTGCAGCTGTTGCAGTATGATCCCTGGGCGCTCTTGCTCCAACTCTGCCAACAACCGCTGCCCCTCCTCAGCCCATGTTGAGGCCTGCAACACCAAGGCCAAACAGGCACTGAAGGAGGGTCCCACCAAGACTGCGAAGTCTTCTCCCCACTCCCTATTCCCACAGAGTGCTGGCCCTAGACCACATCCCCAGTAGCTGAATTTAGGGGTCAGGTTGAACACAAGGAGAGAGAAGAGGCGGGATGACCAGGAAGAGCTCAGGTTGTAAAGGAGCTGGGCAGCTACCCCTCTGGCCCTACTGACCACCTGCAGCCAAGGACAGGACCCCTCACACACCTGCTTGAAGAAGCATGACAGCCTCTCAGCATCTGCCAGCCACTGTCGCCGCTGGGCCAAAGCCCTGGAGAATTCAGTCAGCTGGGCTCGTAGGGCCAGAAAGTGGGCCCCAAGGGGGCCCAGTTCAGCTGCTTCCCAGCCAGCCAGTGGCTGCAGAAACTTCTCCCCTTGCCTGATCTGCTCCTGGAGACAGAGTCGGGCTCAGTGTCCAGGTCGGGTGTTCTAGCCCCAGAGCCCAGGTCTCCTCAACTGACATCTACACATCATCATGAACTCTCCCCTGTAATCAAAGACCCTCACTCTACTCCCCACACATGTCCTTTTCTCTCTTAGCTCCTCCCCATAACCAAACCTTCCTGGAGAATTGTCTTTCCTCACTATCACTGTGTCTTCACTTCATCAGCCCACTCCAATCCCACTTCTACCCACCTCCCAGCACGTTTCAGGACTTGTCTGACTCCACAGCTCAGCAACATTCAACCCTCTCTCTCCTGGCTTCCAACCCTACCCCAGTCTCTTGATTCTCCTTGTCTGTCTCTGGTGATTCCTCCTCCGGCTCCCAGACCCTTACTCAGGCCACTGAACACTAAGGCTCCTAAAGGTTATCTACTCTCTCTCCCCAGGCAATCTTGTGTAAACATGCTTCAACTATCACCCACACACCCACATCCAAGTTACCCTCTGCAACCAGATCTCTCCTCTAGCCACAGGCCCAATGCTATTATTCTTCTACATTCATTCATCTCCAAAGCACACCCAAGACTGGATTCATAAATACCCTTCCCCCAGAAAGTCCTTGTCTCCTGGTACCTCTCTCAGGAAACAGAACCCATTCATTCTTACAACCTCTCTCTCTCCCTCTTACCTTCTCTTATGCGTCCAATATCAAATCCCATCAATTTTTCAAATCCATCCCCTCTGCTATCATCCAGGCCAGAGCAACCATTTTCCACCTGGACCACTGCAGCTGCCTCTTCAATAGACTCTCCACATCCATCCTCCAAATTGCTGTCTACCCAGAAACTAAGGTAATCTTCCTGTAACACTGAATATGTGAATTTCCTGCTTAAATTGTGCACTATTGCAGGGCCCAGTGATCTGGCCACTGACCACTTTTCCAGCTTTGTTTTACCTCATCTCACCCTACTCTTCCCTCCCTCTTCTGTTCTGCTTTTAAACCTCACTGTCTTTCTTAGTTTTCAGGCAAGTCATGCTCCCTCCTGCCACAGGACCTTTGTATATGCTGTTTGTTCCCTCAGCCTGAAATGTCTCATATCTCCAACCCTTTTCTGCCTGGTTGACCCTGACCTATCCTTCAGCTCCCAGCTCAAAAGTCACTATCTCAAGAAAGCTTACCCAACACTCCTTCTGGGTCATATCTTATATACTCAGGTAGAACCACCTGCATTGCTCCTCTCTCTCCAGAGTTTTTTTGCCTCGGTTTGCAAACACACATACATGACTTTGAACCTTTAATTACAACTTCCCTGCTGGACTATAAATCCCAAGAGAGCAAAGGATAGATTTACTTTCACCCACCCTGAATTCCTAGTCCCTGGTAAAGTGCCCCAATACCTACAGAATGAACAAGTAGCCAAAGTCACCTGAGCAACCCGGTCCAGCTCACGAAAAGGGCCTTGGGCTTGAAGCAGTGTGTCCAGTGAGGGCTCCCTTGGCTCCTCCAGTGCTGGCCAGCCCACCTTCTGTAGCCACATTTCAATCTGGAGGGGCATAAACAGGGCAAGAACAGCTGCTGTGGGTTGGGAGATCATGCCGAAGATTAGGGGTGGGGCCCATCTGGGCAGGTAGTTCCCACCTGGTGCAGCCTGTTCTCCTGGGCCTTCAGTGTCTGGACTAACTCCAGTGCTTGTACTCGACGGTTACTCTGCAGGGTCAGTTCATGCAGCAGCCCATCCACGCAACCATAAAGCTCATCAACCTTGTCCACTGCTGGCCTAGTACAAGGTACATGATTTTAAGGTGCCTACCAGCTGCCTTGCTCCACTCCACCCTGTCCTGGGACCACAGTCCTGGCTGGTTTTGAGCCAGCCACTGAGTCACTGGCACAAAATACGGTGTGCTGGTGCAAGATCTGGGAGCTGGCTTGTACCTACCTGTAGTCTGGGCTCTGGGTCACCTCTGGGACCTCCTGCTTCAGCCATGCCAGCTCCAAGCTCCCCTGGCATTGCAGCCATGCCAACTGTGGTGAGACTAGCACATGCTGCATCAGGACCCGTGCCTGCTGTAGCAGCTGACCAACTTCCTGTGATTAAAGGAAACAGGTAGTGGAGGTAAGCATGGGAGAAAGAGACATGAAGCATTTGGGGAAGAGTCAGAAGGAGACACTCACCCCAGTCTTTATGGGCTGAGGCATAGTCTTCATGTCCTCAATGGCCCCCTGGAGCAGGGTACAAACCACTTGGCAGCTCTGCTGTAGGGCTTCTAGACGCTATGAGTAGGGGCAAGCATGACACAGCAGCCAGCTCTGTGTTGCTCCAGCCAGTCCAGGAGAAGCTCTTCTGCTGGCCTGCATACCCACCCTATGCCCCACCCAGTGCACTGACCATCCGGAAGTCTAGCCAGGCCTGATGGCAATAAGGCAGGCCTCCTCCCAGTGACGCAGGTAAGCATGAAGTGGAGATGTGTGTCAGCAGGCTCTGATGAGAGGACAACTGCTCTAGCTGCAGGAAAAAAAGGTGTAACGCAGGCCTAGTGGGGAAGCACCCCACCTCCACCTCTGGCCAACACAGCTCAGTACCTGAAGCCCTGAGGGCACCTCCTCTGGCATTTTTCCCACCAGCAGCACTTGGTGCACAGACCCTGGGGCTGCTTCCTGAAAGAAATCTGAGCTCATCCCTGCCCCAAACCTACACAAAAGGAATGACTGGGGGTAGGGAGCTATAACCCTGTACTCACTTGCAGTTGGCTGAGCCCCCAGAAGAGGGAAGAGCTCGGGGGACAAATCTGGGCATCCACTAGCACAGTTAGTCCCAGGGCCTGTACTTCTAGCCTAAAGGAGCAGGATTGGTTCAGTACCTAATTCTCAGGCCCATCTCCTGCTCAGGCTCTATCCCCCAACCTCCTCTTGCCAACCTGGGAATGCTTCGCAGGTAGAGCAAGAGGCTGGTGAGTTCATGGCTGCTGCACTTGGGATGAAGCCAGGTGTGGCTATGGGCACTCAGAAGTAGCACTGCCCGGCCTTCTACATCCCGAGTTCCTGTGGGGAGAGGGCGGTGAACATCTGCTCAATTAAGACACCCTACCTCCACCAGCTCTAGTACCTCCTGCTACCTGGCAGGGCAGCCATGCCACTGGCCAGCAGCTCCCAGGCGAGGTCTTGCGCCAAAAGGTAGTCACTGGGCTTAGGGAGGCTGGATCCACTGGGGTCTTGGGAAAGAAAATAGCTTGGGTCTGCATTGGCCCGCATACCCAGAGATCCCTCCTCGGACCTGGACTTCAGCCTGAGTAGGGTCAGAGCTCTCTCCAAGTCTTGGGATCCCTCTCCAGACACTCCCACTCCCTTCCAAGACATCTCTGTCCAGCCTCCCTTACCTGCTTCCAGCAGCTGTGATGATGTGTCAGATAAAGGGCCTCCAAGGTCCACAGAGTCACTGTCCAACCCCCCAGGGTCCAAGCCAGTTGTCCTCACCCTGCCTGGATTTGGGTTCCCTCCCAACCCTCCCCCTTGGCTGGCACTCTTGCCCTGTGCCAGGCTGAGGTGGGAGGACATTGGACATAGGAGGCTCTCCACTTCAGAAGGGACTGGTTCCTCTGACCTTCCCAAGGAACCTCCTAATGTGCCCTTCTGGCCATCCCCTGACCCATCTTCAGCTATTTGTTCTGGGGTTGATTGAAGCTCCCCAGACAGGGGGCTGCCCTGAAGCCCTTTACCCTGGGCTGCCCCTGCTGTTGGTCTTGGAGGATTGAGGTCCTTAGCCTGCATCTGGGGAGCAGGTTCCTCCTCAACACAGGCATCCCTGAAACGGCATGTAGCAAACCTCCAGTCGGTGGCATGGCCCTGGGAGTCTGGAGACTCATCCCCATCCTCCAAAGACCCTTCCATCATCCACTCCTTAAGAGTGGGCCTACTCATGGCAAGCGGGAGAGAAGCTGGGGCCTCGGTGTGAACTGAGGCCTCAGCTCATCCAGGAAAAGGGCTGAAAACGGTCAGGTAGCACTTGGCAGAAATGCAGGGGGAAGGCACTAGGACGTAGGAGGGGCCAGTTTTGGTGCCAGGGCACAGGGAGCGTAGATGTTGCTGCAGTTCAGGCCTGAGGATAAAGGAGAAATAAAGGGGTTTATTCCGTCCACGCTCACATGGGCTCCCACCCTGGGAAGCGCACTCCTGCGGCTTTGCGGGCCTATGCTGGTGGCACTGCCTCGTGCTCGCATTTGTGGGCCCAACCGGAAACTGGCCTCCCGCAGGGACGTACGCATCTCCACCCTTCCCCGCCTGCCACACGCATACCCCTAGGGACACGCCACCAGGATAAGGGGAGCGAGGGAGGCTAGGCCACCGGAGCCATCCTACGTACCCCAGTGGAGCCTCGACGGCGCGCAACAGCACGCAGCTGGCGTCCGCGGGCGCCGCCTCCTGGCCGCGGAGGAGAGAATGCAGGGCGTCGGCGGTCGCGGCGCCGCGCTGACCCCTGGAGGCCGGAGGATGGAGCCACAGCCCACTGCGACAGACCCCACGGAAGACGCGGTAGCCCTTGCAGCGCTTGCTGCCCACCGACCCCTCCTACCTAGCGGCCTGGGCGGCTCGACTTCCCCCGCACCCCTAGGGCCCCGCTGACTTTGGCTCAGTCTCTCAGTCTGGTAGGGGCAGAGACCAACGGCCATTCCACTGTGTTGCCTCCCTGAAAAGCAGCCCTTGCTGGGGGAAGGCGGTGTAGGTGCCCAAGTGAGTGAGCATGTGGATATTCCTGGGCATGGAGGGAAAGGGATTGTGGGGGCGGGAGGGTGGTGAGGGGTGAGCTTCTCCTGTGGAATGCAGGAATTAGGCGGGGAGTCCTCCCCCAGCCTCCCTAAGCAAAACAAGGAGCTCTCATTCCTCTGAGCCAGGAGATGAGAAGTGTGGGCCCAGGGTGTCAGAGGGCCCCTAGTGTGCTGGCATGTTTATAACCCTATAATTGATGATTGGTAAATTATTGTGCTGCTCCATAATTGATGATTGGGAAAGTCACTGTGTGCCCTTCAGCTGAACCTGTTTAGTCAAAATAACCTCAGTAAATTGGAGTACTCCCTGAACCAAGAAATTGTTGGGAGCCAGCTGCATATGTAACAGTCCACGGAGCCTGGAGGTCTTGAGTCAGAGACTCCACCTCCCCCACAATCTCAAGGAATTAGACTTGCATTGTGTTTGTGCAGCTCAGGGCTAAGTGTGACCCAATGCACCTTGAAATACCTGAAATACCTGAGTGTGCCTGGGTGTTCCTATTATCCGTAAGGCAAACTAATTCTATACAGCATTGCTGTGGTCCTGGGCATTATATCAAGAAGATCCACCCTGGCCAGTTTGGCTCAGTGGTTGAGCATTGGCATGCGGACCAGAGTCCCGGGTTCGGTTCCCGCTAGGGGCACATACCAAAAAAATTTTAAAAAAATAAGATCCTATTTTCTGTAAGGTATAAAAGGCATGTAATAAAGCATGTCGGGGCTGATTTCGAAGACTGTCACAGGGGTGTTTGGAATCAGATGCCGGCTGGCTAATAAATGGCTCTTATTTGGACTTCAATTCTCCAGAGGTCTTTCTTTGACTCTGTAGAGCCACAACATTTGGCGGCCCCAGGGCTGATCTCTGAGAACACGGGATCAGTCACTGGCTGGCTTTGCTCTCTATTTGGCTTTAATTTGGCTCTGGTGGTCGCCGGGTCCTCTTGCACAACACTAGAAAGACTCCCTAAGCCCAGATCAGTGGGATGGGGCCACTAGGAGCCAGTAAGAGTATCTTCACAGAGAATGGGAGGGAGGGTCCCCTCCACTGCAAATTCCATCTTCCTTCCATGCCCCAGGCCAAGGCACCAAGAGACAAGTTATGTGATCCCATGATGGGGAGAGCAGCTGTTCTCTGGCTGGAGAGAGGGAGGGAGCAGGGAGGTCTCTAGGGTGGGAGCTGACCCAGGCCTGCCAGAATCCACCAATCCACCAGGCCCAGACCCTCCACTCCCTTACATTCCTGGCACTTCTTTCACATACACTCCTTCCCCATCCAACACCCCCTTTCCCACAAAGTCTAGCCGAGGAGGCTAGGAATGAGGTCCCATTCTAAAGCCAGAGAGATACTAACCCAGGCCTGCTTCTCCACTTACCTGCTGGGTGAGCTCCAGCAACTCAGTTCTCTTTGAACCTCACCTTACTCACCTGTTCAAAAAAAGGTTATTTCTTCCTCTTGGGATAGCCATGAGGACCAGGGAAAATCCATATGTCAAACGTCCACTTGCTGCCAGCACTTGGGCTGTGTTGGTGCCCTGCCCCTTACTTCCCACTCAATCAGGGAATCCTCAACTGGTGAAAGTCACTTGGATATTTGACCTGTGAGATCCCTCCCAGTTCTGAGGTATGAAGTCCCTTTGAAGCAAGTGGGCCTAGCCTAACACTCCCCAAAATTTGTGGGAAGATTGTTAGAAAGTAGGCTATGTAGCCAAAAGAAGGCACTATGCCCAATATGCTCAGGCCCTTGGTTCTTGGGTATAATGGCTTCCCTGACTCTAAGGCAGAGACCTCCTTCATGAGCCCAAAGAGGTTGCCAGAGAAGAGAACCTGGGCATCAGAAGCAGGCATAGTGAGAACAGCAATCCCTCTTCCTCCCAGTTGTCATCAGCACCCAGAGTCCAGATTCTCAGCTATCAAGGATCCTTCTTCATGAGCTGACCTGGCTACAAGAGAGGAGCCTTGGAGTTGTCCTGCTCTATCCCCAATCCCCAGTGGGTCCTCTCATCCCACTCTCCTCTAGCTTCAGTGAGCTATAGGACCAACCTTGGCTCTCTCCCCAGCTGTCCCAGGGCCGCCCCACTGAGTCACTGCCTCCTGCTCCCTCCCACCCCTTCTGCCCCACTGTCTGTCCACCCCCACCACCAGTCAGGCCCCCTAGGAGCCTAAGAGCTGAGGGGGGAACCTGCTGGCAGGCACACATACCCCTGCAATGCCAGAGGCAAATAAGAGCCTTCAAGCCACAGGCCATAGCTAACCCAGCACCCCCGGGGCACAGGCAAACAGATTCTGGCCAGAGCCAGGCTTTGGTTTATTCACTCCACATAGAATGTGCCTTATAAGCTTCATGAAAACAGAGACTGTGTGTTGTCCACTTCTGTACTTCGAGCAATAATAAATGCTTAGGGAATGCCTGCGACTGGTCACACCACCCCTGCCCTCCTGAGGCTCTCCATCCATGAGCCAGATGTAAACCAAGGTCATAAATAGAGACAGATTCAGAGGCTTCATCTGAAAAGGACACGGAAGAGGCAGAGAGCTACAGGATGCATGGCCCAGGATGGCAAAGATACAGATAGAAATCGGGACAGACTGAGGCCTAAAGGGGAATACTGGGGGCTGGGCCTGGAGCCAGGCTGGGCTGCTGACCACAGCAGGCTCTGTGGGCTGAGGTTGCAGTGACTCATGAGGCCCATCTCTATGGCTCTCCTGGCAGCAGAATATACTCTTAGAATCCTTTTCCACTGAGATCATTAAATAGGGATGGGCTTCCCTCCCCTGCCCTTTTCCCAGCCTTCCCTCACTTTCCCTCAGCCTCCTATTCCTTGCCAATATAAATAGATCAAAAATAAAATACTTTGTGCCTCAGTGGGCCTCATAAGAGACCTACAGTCATTGCCCTTACTCCATCCCAAATCTTACACACCTTCTTCAATACTGCCCCAGATAGTGAGGGTGACATATACCCCTAACCTTCTAGACCTCTCTCACCTTTGGCCTAAATGAACTCCAAACTCCTTAGCGTGGTATTCAAGGCCATCCAGAGGCATCAGAGCCTTCCTGTCCAGCTCCCATACTGGCCTGGAAACCTGATCTGATGACAAGTCTTAGTTACCTCTCTCTATCTGGAATGCCCACACCCATTTCTGCCACCCTGCCCAGTCAGGTGGTAACCCATAGATGAGCTCTTGCTCACTCTGCTGGATCCCAGATGCCTGTCTCCTCTATGCTATGCTCACCTTTATTCCCCCAGTCCCTTTGCCTCTGACCAAGCCTATGTGCCTGGCAATCCCACTATTCTTAGTTACCCAACACCAGGCCCAGGAGCCCCTTTGCAGCCCTTCCCCTACACCATTAGTTTGATTTCCACAATCTTTCTAATCTAGTAATTGTTGAAGCTGTGGTCTGTGGGCCACCTCCCTCTGGAGAGCTTATTACAATTACAATTTCTGGGCCCCCATAAACCTGCTGAGTCTAGCCCCATAGAATCTTTGGGGTAGGCCCAGGAATCTGCATGTTTGATAAATTCCCCAGTGATCCTGAAGTCTGAGAATAGTTGCCTGCTGTCTCCAGTACCAGCCCCTTCACATCCTTGGGCTGCTGGAGCAGCCTCCCAGCAAGTGTTCTGTAGCCTTTCCTCCACCTGGGATTTCACACATCTTCCACCTGGCTCAGCTATATTTGAGCTTCCTAAAGCATATCAGTGCCCACACCACTCCCAGATTCCAATTCTCTCAGGCCAGCTCCCTGCCACCCCCAAACTCAGCAGGGTCTCCCTACCTAATCTGGCTGGTTTCTTCCAACCACATCACCCACTGCTTCTTAATTTTTGCCAGGTGTGCTCTAGGCATCCTTTGTTTATGCTGCTCTTTCTACATAGATTGCCTGTGTTGTCTGAGCCTCTACACACACACACACACACACACACACACACACACACACACTCCTCCCAGAGGCTACCTAGATCTCCTCAAGGACTCATAGCACTTTTAGTGCTCTTTGTCTTATAAGGACCAATAATAACAAACATTTGTGATCCCTGTGGGCCAAGCTCTGTACTAGATTCTATTCATTTTACCATTGAATCCTGATAGCAACTTTATGAAGTAAGTGTACTTGTTATCCCATTTTAGAGATGAAGACACTGAGGCTCAGAGTGTGTAACATGCCTAAAATGACATACCTGTTGAATGACAGCTGGGACTGTTAACTATTAGGCCTTATCACTGCCAACTGTACACAACTTGAGTGCAAAGCCTAAATCACTCTTTTCTTCACACTTTCCCCATGCTTAACATAGAAAAAGTGACTAAATTTGTAACCTTGGCAGTGTGTTGAGTCCTTCAGATCTATAGAGACAGAAAGTGGGTTAGTGATTACCTAGGGCTGGGTCGGGGGTAAGGAGTGACTTTTGGGAATAACCAAATGTTCTAAACTTAGATTATGGTAAGAATTGCACAACTCAATATATTAAAAACCTCTGAACTATACATTTTAATTGGGTGAATTTATGGTATGCATGACATATCTTAGTAAAGATAGATATATTTTTTAAAAGTCCTTCAGGCTCTGGCCGGTTTGGCTCAGCACTTAGAGCGTCAGCCTGTGGATCAGAGTCCTGGGTTCCTTCCCGCTAAGGGCACATACCTTGGTTGCAGTTCGTCCCTGGCCCCCGTTGGGGTCGTGCAGGTGGCAACCAGTTGATGTGTCTCTCTCACATCAATGTTTATCTCTTTCTCTTCATCCCTCTCTCCCTCCCACTCTATCTGAAGATAAATGCAAAAAAATGTCCTCAGGTGAGGATAAAAAAAAAAAAAAGTCCTATCCTTAGATGTTACTGGACCCCACGCTACCCTATTTATATGGTAAACACTCATGGTAACCAGCTCCTTTGAGAGTGCCCTCTCACCCACCATGTGCAGAGCATTTCTGTTCATTTGTCCTACATCTGCCTTCATGTTTTCAAGGAAAGCTTATTGGTCCCAGTGTGTGGTGGCTGCATCTTTGGGTACCATGGCACCTGACCTCTGGGGTCTCTTTCCATGTTGGCCTTCCCCATTTTGTGGTCTCCCCATTCTGTGACCCTATGCCCATAGTGATCTTCTGGACAGCCACTGCAGGCCCCTGAAGGGGTACAATATTGGGAAGGTATGGGAGAGGAAGGAGGGCCAGAGGGCCTAACAGTCTTTCCCAAGATCCTCCTCCAACCTCTATCCCAGAAGCCCTGGGGCAGGCAGTTGGAAGTTTCCATTTCACTGACCAGATGCCCTTGTTGCCACCCCCTGATCCTAGAACCCCCAGACACATGGACATGGGACACCCATCCATTTAAGAAATGTTTAATGTATCTTCGGATCAAGGTACACAACACAGGGCAGGTGCTAACCCCAGGGAAGTTACCTGCCACCCTGTCAGCCCTTTGCCTGCCTTGGCCAGGCATTCTAGCCCCCAGAGTAGTGGAGCAGTGGCCCTGGCTCCTTTCATGTTTGGGCAATGTCAAGGTGGTAATGTGGAAGCCCAGAGGCCACTGTCTCCTTTCCTTAGAAAACCCAGACCCAAGGATCTGAAAAATCCAGACTTGGATGCAGAGCAGCAGATCCTCAGAGTGACAATGGCTAAAAAGCAGTCCTGACCTGAAGCCTGGCTCAGCCCTGTGGCCTTGGTCCTGGAAAAGGAGGAGATATCACCCCAATAATTGGCAGCAAACAGAAGGAGATAAAGCAAGAGGTGAAGACAGATTCCCAGTGCCCTAAAAAAAAAAATTGGTTATGGGTAGCTGATGCAACAGGGCAGCAAAACCCAAGGTGAGACCTGCTTCACCTCCCACCCCAAACCCTCTGAGGACAGGGCTACATTGCCACTGTTCTTGAGCTGGTGCTAAGGAGGGGGTGGAGGGCAGTAAAAAGCCAGTGTCAACCGAGGAATGATGCCCTTGCTTTGGGGGCAGGAAACAGCTGCTTAAAGTTGCCCCAGGAAGACTCACTGGGGAAGAGACATCAAATATCCAAGTCTCTGGGCCTATCCCCTAGCTCTGGACTGGGTCTTGAGTCAGGGTTAGGGTCTCATTAAAAGGGAAGGTGGCAGGAGTTAGGAGCAGGGGTGGTGGTGAAAAGGGTCCCTTTAAGGACCAGCCCAAGAGACCCTGCTGACCTGCCCTAAGGGAGCCCAGTTGCTACTTCAGTCCAGGCCCCTCTGACCCCATGTCAGGCTGAGTGGACTCCTCTGCCGTTTGTGTGGGGACTCCAGCCTCCTGCTCCTCCCTTAGTCCCTGGGCTACAGCCGGCCTCCTCTGTTGAACTGGATGCACCAGTGGGAGTTGGCAGTGCCTGGGCTAAGATTTGAGTGGTCCTCATGTTCCATGAGGGACTGCAGCTCCTGTTGCTGGGGGATGTCAGCGCTGCTCTCACTGCGAGAGCGGCCAGCCTTGGCCAGGCTTGGAGGAAAGGCGAAGCTAGGGTGCAGATCAGAAGGCAGGCCAAAAGGGGCCTGTGGCTCTTCAGTGGCCAGTGGGCAGGGAGGCAGGCATGTCATAGTTGGAGCCTGGGTGCAGGGTGGGGATGCCAGGCTCTCCAGGGATGAGATGCTCTGGTTCCAGCCCATCTGCATGTCCACTGGCACAATCTTGGTGGTTTCTGAGGACACGTAAACTGCAAGGTCCCCCTGCCCACTCTTCCAGGGTAGTTCCTTCTCTGCACAGGTTGGAGAGGGGGGGATGATACGTGGACTCGGACATACTTCAAGGCTCCCTGGAAACAGAGTACACCCCCATTCACTACCAACACATGGAATTCTTAAGTATAAGCACATTTTCATAAATTCACTTCATAGTTGCCACATTACATCCACTTGTGTGATTATTTGATAAATGCCTTGCCAAAGGGAAGCTCCACAGCTGGTTTTGCTTTTCACTGTATCCCCAGCACCTAGCACAGGGCTGGGTACATAGTAATTGTTCAGCAAATACCCATTGAACACCCACCACAGCCCTTTGGTGGGACAGAGCGCAGGAGAGTGAGCTCATGCAAACCTAAGAGCAGGCTAAAACCGTGCCAAAAAGGGGATGCCAGAGCACAGGGGACATAAGTTAAGAATCCCAGAATGCTGGCAGCCAGGATGGAAGGCTCAGCCTCTGTACGACAGGAAGTCTGAGATTCTGAAAGAGGAAACCTGGGAAAGAGAAGCCCTCTGGCCAAAGTCAAGCACAATGTCTTGCATATAATAGGTGCTCAGTTTGTGTCTGCTCACTGATAGTCCTGAGTAGTCCAATAAACTAGACTGAGTACATTATAAAATGTATTGATTCTGCCCAGCTGATGTAGCTCAATGGTTGAGCATTGGCCCATGCACCAGGGGGTCACTGATTTGAGTCCTAGTCAAGGCACATGCCCAGGTTTGTGGGCCCAATCCTCAACAGGGGGCATGCAGGAAGAAACCAATCAGTATTCTCTCTCATCAATGTTTCTATCCCTCTCTCTCTTCCCTTCCTCTTGCTGTAAAATAAATAAAGAAAAAAAAATTTTTAATGTAATGATTCTGTGATTGAAAGTAAAACTTCCTCTCTGGAAAGACCTAAAATATTAAATTTTAACAACCACAACAAAATTAAAACAACAAAAACTTTCAGTGTTCACTTTTGGAGGATGCTAGGGAAACTAACTCATTGATAAATAAAAAGAAAACTGATAAATAAAAGGAAAAAATCAAGTATTTATCCATTCTTTCTTGTATGAACTATACCTCAAAGTAACTAAGCAATTGACAGGAGGAAGCTGCTATTAATGCAGACAAAAATAAATAAATAAATGTAAGAATATCACCATTGTGCAACTCCCAGTGAAATGCTGGATCTGGCCCTGGCCGGTTTGGCTCAGCGGTTAGAGTGTCAGCCTGCAGTCCAGAGACACCCAGGTTCGGTTCCCGCTAAGGGAATGTACCTCGGTTGCAGTTTGTCCCCAGCCCTGTTTGGGTTGTGTGGGTGGCGGCCACTTGATGTGTCCCTTTCACATCAATGTTTCTCTCTCTCTCTCTGTCCCTCCCACTCTATCTGAACAAAAAATGGAAAATGTCCTTGGGTGAGGATTAAAAAAAAAAAATTTAAATGTTGGATCTGGCCGTGATCATCAGTGGCTGCTAAAACCATTTGATGAAAAGCTGACAGGGAACTTGATAATGGAGGGATAAGGGTAACAATATCTGAAACCAGTGGTCAATGTTAACTTCACAAAAAGATTACCAGGTGGACCCTGGCCAGTTTTGCTCAGCGATTAGAGCATCGGCATGCGGTCCAGAGAGACCCGGACTTGGTTCCTGCTAAGGGCACATACCTTGGTTGCAGTTTGTCCCTGGCCCTGGTTGGGTCGTGCGGGAGGCAGCCACTCGATGTGTCCCTTTCATGTGGATGTTTCTCTCTCTCTCTGTTCCTCTCTCTCCCTCCCACTCTATCTGAATAAAAAATGGAAAAATGTCCTCGGGTGAGGATAAAAAAAAATTAAAAAATTAAAAAAAGACAACCAGGTGGTATGTGCTTCCTGATGTGATACAGAAGGAAGTACACCATTACCACCTATAAAATATTTTTACAAAAAAATTACAACATAGCCCTGGCCGGTTTGGCTCAGCGGTTAGAGCATCGGCCTGAGGTCCGGAGAGACCCGGGTTCGGTTCCCACTAAGGGCATGTACCTTGGTTGCAGTTTGTCTCCGGCCCTGGTTGGTCATGCGGGTGGCAGCCACTCGATGTGTCCCTTTCACATCGATGTTTCTCTCTCTCTCTTCCTCTCTCCCTCCTATTCTATCTGTGCAAAAAATGGAAAAATGTCCTCGGCTGAGGATAAAAAAAAAAAATTACAACATAAATCTTATCTATATGTAATTACTAGTTTAAAGGAAATATAAGATTAGCTAAGAAAATGAGATAGAGCCCTGGCCAGTTTGGCTCAGAGGTTAGAGCATCGTTCCGCAGACCAGAGAGTCCCGGGTTCGGTTCCCACTAAGGGCACATACCTTGGATGCAGTTTGTCCTCAGCCCCAGTTGGGGTCGTGTGGGTGGCAACCAATCAATGTGTCTCTCTCACGTCGATGTTTCTCTCTCTTCCTCCCTCTCTTCTTCTGCTCTATCTGAAGATAAATGCAAAAAATAAAAAATAAAGAATCCTTATCTTTAGAGATACAAGCTGGAGTGTTTATTGATGAAGTGACATAATATTGGAGATTTGCTTCAAAAGAACCCAGCGAAGAGAGGGGAATAGTGATGGTATGGATGAAATAAGATTGGTTAGAAGTAGGTAATTGTTGAAGTTGGGTAACAGATCAGTGGGAGTTCATCTTACCATTCTGTCTAATGTATATTTTGAAATTTTCTATAATAAAAAAAATTTAAAAGACAACTGAGGGTGCTTAAGCCAACTAGCAGTGGTATTTATGAGTGAGTCAGTTCTCCACATATGGAAACATGTAAATAATGTTTTTTATCCACAATAATCCCATTTCAATTAGTTCGGGCTCCTCCCCCAGGACAGACTACCACTTTCAACAGGTGTTCTACCTGAGGGCAGGTGTGCTGAGCATGGGTCACAACAGAGCCAGGTATTAGCCTGTCATCTCATGTTTCTTCCCAGACTGTAAAGGGAGACAGCATGGCAGTGAAAAGGCTGTGGGCTTTGGAGTCAGATGGGTCAGGTTCAAATTCTGGTTCTGCTGTGGGATGCTAGACAAGTTCAATGTTCCTTTGGTTCTCTGAGCTGTTTCCTTATCTTGGTTGTTGTGAGAGTTGAAGCAAATCATGTGCATTAGGAGTCCGATATAAAGGCAGTGTTCAGTAAATGCTGGTTGGTGAAAAACGAGTGAATGGGGAAAGGGAGTTATCTGGAGTAGAGGCCATGAGTAAAAAGGGAGATGCCAACTGCATAGCTCCAGCTCGCTCCAGATGGGAGAGAGTCAGGGAGGAAGACATTACCTGAGACCTTGCCCTCTTGGAGAACCTCACTGGTGGCCCGAGCCACAAAGATGATTCCCTCGTCGTCCTCCTTTTCTGTCTCAGAACTGTAGCTCTCCTCCTCCTCAGACTCCACAGTTAAGATCACAGCAGCTGGTTAGGGACAAGAGCTGAGTTGGGATGGCCAGCCAAGCAGCTGCCTTTTGATATTGCACAAGCCAGCTCCCTGTCCACCCAGGCAGAGCCCACAGTTGGCAGAGGCATCTGCTTTCTCCTCTGGCTGCTTTGGCACTGGCCTAGGGAGTTGGGTGCTTGCAAGAAAGGGAAGTGGGAATACAGATCCCAAGGATGCAACCAGGATGAGCAGAGTCCTCAGAGGAAGCCATGAGGGAAGTCACACTTTATAGCTTCCCTATCCTCTCCTCTCAGCTCCAGATCCCATCAAATGAAAACATGAGCATTTGGGGAGCTAGAAGGCCCATCAGTGTTCAGCTCATCCTGGTTTTGCAGATGGGACACTGGGCCCCAGGGCTCACCCATCCTTCAAAGTTCAGACCAAGCTCTCCCCTTCTCCACACCTTTTCCAGGTCCTCAGGGCCTGTAACCTGTAGTTAGCTACAGATGTCTCCTGTCACAACATCTAATAACGGCTTTGAACACATCCAGCTTTGAAATCAAGTATGCCCATCTAGTCCCTGAGAAGAGCCCCATCTCATGGCACTGAATGCAGCAGAGTAGGTCCTCCAGGATTCTGGTTGATAGGTCCTGCCCTTTCCCTACCCCTCCCATCCTCAACCCCATCCCCATCCCCTGCTTGCCTGTGTCCTGAAAGCCCAGGTCTCCAGGAGACTTCTCATTTGTAGCTGCAGTGTAAGCCACACCATTCTTCTAAGGAGCAAGAAAAAACCCTAAGCCTCTGGCCCTGGCTCCAACCCCAACCCTGTTACCTTCCCAACACAGAAGGGGAGGGAATTTGTGTTGATTCCCGATGGTTCCACCATCCCTTGGACCCCCCACAGAAGTGTTGTGGAGTCTGAGTAACCCATGCCCCAGAAGGGCTCTTGATGCATCAGTCTGAGCTGAATTAGGGGTTTATGGAGTTGCCTCCTCCAAAGAATCTGCCTTTCTCCTGCTCATTTCATTTATAGCACGAAGTTCAGCTGCCTCCCAGCAATTGACCACATGGCCAAGAAGCTGATCTTCCTCTGAAGGCTTCACCTTACCCTTTCAGGGCTCCAGGAAGATACAAAAGGGAACTCAGGCTGCTTCAGCCACTAAATCCCTGAGGATTAATTATCCAACTAGGGGTCCCCTTGGGCTGGATTCCAACACTTGGGGTGCAAAACTGCATGCCGTCATTCTCTAGCCCCAAAGAAAGCACGTGCCTTCTTGCAGCCAGCCTTGCGGGGTCGTGGCTTGCTCTTGGTGAAGCAAATGTTGTGCTTGGTGGACTTAAAGGACTCCAGTCGCCGCTTCATGTTCTGCTGGAAGACCTCCTTGTCCTGCCGCTCCTGTACATCCTCCAAGATGAAGTGGCGGCTGCAGCTGGCTTTGTACTGGCAATGACAGCCCCACCCTGCCATGAGGCTGGGTGCCTTGGCCTCCCACAGGAATCCCAGGCCATAGCCCCATGGTCACCATAAGCCCTGCTGGCCCAGTTTTTCAAGAACTAGCCATGGATTAAAAACAAAACAAAACAAAAATTCAATAGGAATCCAGCCAGACACTCTGTATTCTCAGTTCACTAGGGAAAAACTTTCCTTTATGCTAGAACCTATTCCCCCAAATCTGGTTTCCCCTATCCACTACTGCCCCTTCCTATTTCTCTCTGACTTGAAGAATGACCAGAGGCAGAGGGTTACTATGAGACCACAGGAGACATTTCTTTCTTTGCACCTTCAGTTGTGAACCTGGCCCACATATCCCCTGCTAGCTACACAGGATTTTCTCTCCAGGTGAAACTCTCCCGCTAGCCATTCCTACAACAAACACCATGACATTTCGGGCTGCACTTTGAACTCCCATAACTGTCTCTCCTGACACCCCAAACCCTCTCAGTCCAACAACCACCTGTGCCCAATTCAGGACCAACCCCATCATCTGCTCCTCTCAACTCTTTCTCATAAAGACCAAACTTACCACATACTCACCTAGACGGCCTCCATCTCTGCCCTTGGCTCTTGGCAGCCTTTTCATTATCTAGTGGTAATTTCCCAAATACTGTCAGCATGTTCCAAATCATTTTATCTTGCCTCACATTCCCAGTCTGTCCCCTTTCCTATACCTCACATTTTCTGCTTCCCTTCACCAGTTCTAAGAGCTCCCTGCAAGTCTCCCATCTGTTCTCCTCTACATACTCACCCAGAGCTGCCCCTCTCTCAGAGAGGTAAAGGGAGGAGTCCAGGTCCTTCCCAGGGCTCCTCACTCCCCACCCCAGCCTCTGCTTTGCTCAGCTTACTCCTTCCTGCCTCCATTAGTTCCATGCTCCTCCTATTTCTCCTTCTCCTGCTTCTTTAATCCCTCCCTCACCACTGCCCCTTCCCTCCTTGAAGAAAACTTTTCCATTGACTCCACTGCTTCCCCTTTGCTGTCAAACTTTTATACTTTGATTCTGACACTTTCTCTCATACCCATTACTTCCTTAAAAATACCAGAAATACAACTTCAGGGTCTGCAACTCCCCAGCGTTGCCTTCTTCCTGGTCACCAATGCCATGGCCCCTAGTTAAGCACTGGCCTGACCTCTCTGCAGCATTAAGTCCCACTTCTGCCATAGGCATCCAAGACACCATCTGCTACTGCTCCTCCAAGGGTTCCTTCTCGCTTCTCCTTTGCTAGCTCCCCTTTCTTTTCTTCCATGTGCATTCCTCATAGTGTTGTACTTGGCCCTCCTCTCCCCTCTAAATTCTCTCTCCCCAGCAAACTTGTCCATTCTTTCAGCTTCAGCTAGCCCAGGATAGAGATCTGTGGTTCCCAACACCAGCCATCAGACTAGCTGCATCTGAATCACCTGGGGGATGATTTAAAAGCAGATTTCTTTTGTCCCATTTCATACCACAGAATCAGAATCTTCAGGAGGTGAAGCCAGGAATGTGTACGCTAACAAGCTCCCCAGGGGATTCTGATGTAGCCAGGTGAGGAAAACTCTGACAAAGATTGCTTCCAGTCCTGGCCAGTTTGGCTCAGCAGTTAGAGCATCGGCCTGTGGTCCAGAGAGATCCGGGTTCGGTTCCTGCTAAGGGCACGTACCTACCTTGGCTGCAGTTTGTCCCGAGCCCTGGTTGGGTCGTGCGGGCGGCAACCACTCGATGTGTCCCTTTCACGTCAATGTTTCTCTCTCTCTCTCTCCCTCCCACTCCAACTATAGAACAAAAACCAAAAAAATGTCCTCAAGTGAGGATAAAAAAAAAAGATTGCTTCCAAATCCATCTTCAGCCCTTATCTTTCTCTTAAACTATAATCTTAGATTTCTAACTGCATACTAGATACTTCTCTCTCTTTTTGATGATATTTCTGTGAAGAACATGATGAATTATGTATTGTGTTATAGTATAACTAAGTGGATTCAGAACTGGTTGAGTAACCATACCCCCAAAATGCTTGAATTATGTATTGTGTTACAGTACAACTAAGTGGATTCAGAACTGGTTGAGTAACTATACCCAAAAATGCTTGATCCATGTCAGTTTGGAGGGAAGCCTTTAGTAGCATGCCACAGGGCTCTGTCCTCAGTTCTATCCTGTTCAACATTTTTATGTTGGTTTGGATGAATACAGAGTTAACAGGCTCAGCAAATTTTCACAGGATGTGAATCTGAGCAGATATTTGGTGGCAGATATGGGATCCAAACGATGGAATGATGGGCTAAATCAAATAAGATGACATTTAACAGGGATAAGCACAATCTTACTCCAGTTTTCTTTTTTTAATTGGCTACACAAGAACTGGTTGGGCAGAACCCACTTACCAATCTTACATACACACACATCCATAGACAACCAATCATTATGTACATCCTGATATAATACAGTAAGAAACACACAGCATACTTTTTTTTTTTCCATTTTTGGTTCAGATAGAGTTGGAGGAAGAGAGAGAGAGAAACATCAACGTGAAAGGTACACATTGAGTGGCTGCCACCCGCACGACCAACCAGAGCCGGGGACAAACTGCAACCGAGGTACATGCCCTTAGAGGGAACCGAACCCGGGACTCTCTGGACCGCAGGCCAACGCTCTAACCGCTGAGCCAAACCGGGCAGGGCCAGCATACTTATTGATGTTCCTGCATCTGACCAGATCTCTAGATTTAACTACCAGGAAACACAGGGGAAGGAGGAACATGTTAAACAGCACCACTGGAATATAATCAGCAAAATCTATAATATGGAAAATTCTCTGAGACAAAGTATCTAGTTTCTTCAAGGAGGGAGAAGTAAATATTATAGATTTTTTTAAAAATAAAGAGACTTATTTACCAAATGCAATATGTGGACTTTATTTGAACCTGACTTAAACCATCTGGAAAAAGATATTTATGAACACTGGATATTTGATGTGAGAAGAAATTACTGTTAACTGTTACAAGTGATAATGGTAGTATGTTGTATTTTTTTTAAAGAGTTCTTGCCGCCTAGATACATACCAAAATATTTAGAGATGATATGATATGATGTCTGGAGTTTGCTTTAAGATAATAAAGTGGGGATGGAGTGTGGTGGGGATCCAGAATAGAATAAGATAAAATTGTGCATTGATAATTACTGGAGCTCAGTGATGGATAAATCAGTTACTATATTCTCTCTAGTTTTGTAAATGAGTGACATTTTCCATTAGAAAAAAAGTAAATAGAACAAATAAGATGAGATAGGGTTTAACACCCATTAACTAAAGAAAACACTAGGGGTTTGCCTGATTGTAAAGACAATATAAGCCTCAGGGTGGTGAGCCAAAGCTGAAGGGAATCGGGGCTGCAAGAAGAGAACAGCAAGGTCTAGAACTAGAAAGGTGAGAGAGGCCCTATGTCCTGTTATGGTCAACAACAGCTAGAATTGCACCTTCCATTGTGGTCCTTATTTCTTATGACCAGAGAAAACACATCAGAGAGAAGAAATGCTGGCCTCAGCACAGATGGCCTGTGTGGAAGGGAATTGCCTTGAAACCTTTGAAAATATATTCTGCAGAACTGTAGAGAGTTAAATTAGGACCAGTGGGAGCAAGTTAAAGGAAGTCGATTCTGTCTCCAAGGTAGAAACAGCCTTGACTGTTAAAACTGTCAGGAATGGTAGCTGGCTTCCCATTTCAGGAAGTTCAAGGTAATGGCTTGCTGCTCCCTTTGGGGCTGCGATGGGTTCCCTCCTGGATGGGATGGGCCTTTCCAGCCCCAAAACTTCACAACCTGCACTGGACTAACTCAGATTGCCTAAAGTAGATGTCTGCCTTCCCCATGCTAAGCTGCTCCCGCAGGCTTTTTCAGCACTCCTGCTTCTGTCTGTGACTAGACCCCATCAAGCCCTCTGTACTCTATCTCCTTCTGTCCCCTCCATGGCCAATCATCCAGTCCTATGCTTCTCTCCCTTCCCACAACCCAGCTCTAATCCAGTGTTGCATTCCAGCTTCCCAACTGGCTTGCCCAGCCTCTCAACTGACCCCCTCCAATTTGATCTGCATTCTGCTACCAGAGAATACATCTTTAAACAGTGTTTGTATTAGATCAACCCTTACTCAAAAAAGAAAAGCTAAAAGTTATTACTGACAAGATGAAGCTTCCACTCTTCAACCTGACATCTATAGCTCCCCACAGCTGGTGCCAACCACCTCATAAACCTGCGATCATGGCCAGATCACCCTCCCTGGCTTACACTCTGGCTGCTCTCACCCTTCGGCGTGGCTTGTAGAGGCCTCCACAGAGCAGATGGTGCATAACAGCATCCTCACGGTCCCGGCCACTACGTACTGTGTCAATCACCTGCAGATCCAGACACACTCCACTGCCACTCTCCCTCCTGCAAGAGGCAGGGAACAAGTGCTAGGGAAGGGCCAGGAGGCACAGGCCAGGGGAAGGGCAGAAACTAAGGTGCTCATAAACTTTCCCAGAAGTGATTCAGATAGAGGGATCAATGGAGAGAAGTTTGAGGAAGGGAAAGTGGGCTCAAGGACTTACAGCAGGTTGGTGACAGAGGTCTCTGCCACAGAATTTCGGCTGGGCATAGACGGCAGAGTGAGTCCAGTGGAGGATAAGACGTGGCCTCCCTGAAGGGGCCAAGACAAAGTTTAGATGGTAAACAGATTGAGAGTGGCCCAGACAGTCAGAAAGCAATAAAAAAATAACAATAGTTAACCCTTATTCTGCTCTTTTGACGTGCAAGTTACTGTGCTAAAAAATAACAATAGTTAACACATTCTGTACTTTTGATGTTTGAGGTTCAATTTTACCTATCGAATCCTTAAAACTCTGTGATACGGGCACTCTTATTTCTACTTTCTTACAGTTGAGCAAACTGAGGCTCAGAGAGTATAAGCGACTTACCCAAGGTCACAAGCCTATAAGTAATAATTGAACCACATTTGCTGACTCCAGAGTTTAGCTGTTTCCCACTTTTCTCTGCTTCCTGCCAGACTCTGAATGTTAGCATCTGGCCAGGCTGGTTCCTGCAGCTGTCACTTCACAAGACCACTGAGTCTGCTAGAATTTCCTGACTTCCTGCTCAGGGCCTATCTGCTGTCAGTCACCCCTTCCTACCCTGCTCTACTGGCCACCTACTCACCCACCACTGGCTGCCAACCCACCTGGTCCACAAAACTGATGGCATCCCGGATGTTGAGTCTGTAGTACACATCCCAGATCTGGTCCCGAATGCGGTAGGCTGACCGCCTCATCAGCAGCTGACTCAGATACTTCTTGTCAAACTGCTCCCACCTACAGAGGATGCCAGGCCGGGGCCTGAGTGCCATTCCCATGGCCTGGCTAGCTGGCCCTTCCTCAGATGGGGTAGGGACACCACCAGCGCTGGCCTGGCTGTCTTGGTATGGACCTCAGTCAGGGAAAATCTCAAAGCTAGTCCCTGCCCTTATGAAATTTATAGTGTTACGGGAAAGCCTGCCATTAAATGAAGTTAGTGCAAATAACTGTAAAAGTGCAACCATGACAAGAACTGCAAAGGATAATTATAGAGTGTGGCATGGATTTGTTCTAGTTAGGGAGGCCAGGGACAGCCTCCCTAAGGACTTGATGGCTATGGTGGGATCTGAAGGATGAACAGAGGTTAAGTAGGTGAAAGGGAGGCAAAGGAGTATTCTAGAACTACATGTATAAATGTCCCAGTGGCCAGGGGGAGAGGAGCATGGTGGGCCCTAAGATTCTAAACCAGAATACAAGTAATTAACAGGCAGATGGTCAAAGACAGAGCAGAGCACAATGAGGTTTGAATCCAGCAGGCACCAGACCACACAGGGACAGGCAGGCCTCACTGGGGAGCTTTGTCTTATCCTGAGAGTACTGGGATGCCAATGAAGGGCTTCAGACAGAGGTCACCCAGCCTGAGCCTGGCTGTGTCCCTTCTCAGGAGTGTGGCACATATCCCATGCTGCCCTGGCTGGTGGGGCTGCTGCTGCTGAAGGAGCCTCGGGGCAGCTCCCTCACCTGTCCCTCCAGTAGTGATAGCCATGGTGCCCCACAACGTCCTCCACTGCGGCCAGAATGTGGTCAAAAGTCTAGAAGGGGGGGGGGGGGGCGTAGGGGGACTGGATCAGGACTCTGCTCAAAATAGGAAAAGGGAAAGAGGGATAGGTGGAGGGATGGGTTTCTGGTACCCACATGCTCATGCAGCTCCTGGTTCAGGGTGGGTTTGTGATGCTCACTCCTCTTCACCTTCAGCCACTTGACCAGTGGTTTGATGGTCAGGCCCTACAAACAGGCAGCAGGTGAGCCCTGCCCTCTCCTGTTCCCTGTTGCATTTCTCTCCCCATAATTAGGCTTCAGCTTCTGTATCCTGACCTCAGTGCATTCAAAGTCTGGGAAATCAGGCCCTTGTATACACAACAGGAAGAGGAGCCCCTATCACAAAGGTTCCAAGCCTCCCCCAGGACATGTCAGACCCTCTCCCCACCCAGTCTTGTGGGCTCTCCCACCTGCACAATGACTGTGAAGAAGACCACCACAATAGTAGTGGCTACAAAGTAGTCCTTGGCAGGGACCTTGGTCTTGTCCAGTAGGATGACGAGAGCAAAGGCCACAGCCCCCCGGAGACCCCCATAGGACATCACCACCTGATCAATCTTGTCCAGAGGGACCAGCCGGAACTGGTTCAGCACCCATGTCTGCAGAACTACACCTACAGCAGGAGGGAGGGCAGTAGGGAGCAGGGGGTTGGAAGTAGAGGGCACTGGGAGTGACTGACACCAAGTATGTGGGCTAAGGTCTGAAAGGGGCTAGGAGGGGAAAGAAACAAGGGGAGGCTTAGGAATTGACAAGGATGTGGACTCAGATTGGAAGATGAGCTGGGGCAGGGACAGGAAGCAGAGTGGAAAAGCAGAGGGTGCCAGAAATACCGAGGGCTCGGAAGAACAGGATGAAGAAAAGGGTGCCCAGCACCAGCCCAGAGTCCCAGGCCCACTTAGAAGAATCCACAACTGAGATGCCAAGCAGCATGAAGATGATAGTCTCAGCACAGCTGGCTAGAGTCTTCATTGTGTATTTCACAGTTGTGCGTGACTTTTGGGAGATGTTGGCCTCCACATACTTCTTACAGCCCAGGCCACACATAGTCACCCTGGGAGAGGAATGGAGAGACAGGACAAGTGAGAAGAGGTCAGCCTCTGGGGTTTGAGCATGCTTCAGGAGAAGGTCTTGCCTCAGACTCTCAGAGCTGATGCCCAGGAGGCATGGAAACTGTCGAATAATAGCTAGCTGTGGTCCTGGGATGAGTGTTCACATCTCCAGGCTTCCTGCTCAGTGCCTCCTGGAGCGGAAGGTGGGAGAAACATGCTCTGAATAGCACACTCTCTGAGGCATCTTTTGAAGTGCTGTGGCCACCACAGCCAGTAGTTCCAGGCCTTGAAGCCAATTCTACCTCAGCCCACACCACACAGAGCACTTCAGGCAGAGAAAGATTGGGTTCTGTCTGGGGTGCCCAGGAAAGTTCTGGGGGGTAGATCCTGGAACATTACCTGAGGTTTACTATCTCCCAAGGGGAGTATGAGGCTACCACTACCACAAGACCTCAGGGAAATCTATGGACTCCTCAGGGCACTGCATCTGTCCATATGAGGAGCAACCATCTCCAGTGCCCCCTCCCAGCTGCCTGCTTGCAAGTTCCCCTGGACTCACGCAAGAATGGCAGAGAGCGAGGCCATTTCAGCAGTAAGGTAGGCTGCATAGGCGAGGAGGAAGACCAGCAGTGGCTCGATGATGCGGACCCGCTTGGTGAAGCGTGTAGTCAGGGCCAGGAGGAAGGCAAACACTAAGCCCACGGCTGTCCCGCCCAGACTGACCACAAACAGGGAGGCTGGGGGAGGAGTGGGTTGTCAGCATGACCCCTGGCCTGGATCAAACCCAGGCTGACAAGACTTCTGCCTGGCAGGGAGTGGAGGATAATGCCCACTGCACTCCCCGGGGATCAGGATCCCTGAGCCAGGATCCCAGGAAAGCCCCTCCTTCTTAGGTTCTCAGGACCCCATTTCTCCATAGAGGAGGGAAGGGAATGAGTAAGCCTGAAATAAGCCTCCTCTGTCCTGAAGTGGTGGGGATAGGGACTAAGCTACCCAGGGGAGGCAGACCTGCAGTGCTAGCTGAAAGTGGGGAAATACTGACCGACCCCCTTCAGGTAGTCAGTGGCCTGCACATTGGTAGAGCCCATCTCCACAAAGGAGTTGCAGACTTTGTACAGCACCTGAGTGAGAAGAGAGTCAGGAATGAGGGGAAGGCAGCAATTGGGACTGCTAGGAGAAGGTAAATGCTGAGACTGTATTTCTTCCCCAGGGGGTCGGGGAAAAGGGTCTGAACCTACTTATACACCCAACTACTCAGAGCGGGAGGGCCTGAGATCAGCAGGCCAGCTGAGCATTCTTACCACAGTGACTGCATCATTGAGCAGGGACTCGCCAAAAACAATGATAAAGAGTGTCTCATTGACATGCACTTCCTCAAAGACAGCCAGCACAGCCACTGGGTCCACTGCTGAGATGAGGCTCCCGAACAGCAGGAAGTCCAGCAAGCCAGCCTGTACTCTATGGGCTTTCAAGGGACAGATGGGGGACAGTAATTGGTGAGGAACTGAGTCTCCTGTCTCAAGCCCAGACACCACCCCACTGTTAAAACAAGGACACCCAGAGAAGACTGGGATGGTAAAGAGAGCATCAGCCTGCTGGTCAAGAGACTTGAGCCTAAGACCTGGTTTTGCCAGTTATCAGCTCTGTGATGTTGGCACTATCACTGTTGCATGACTTCTCTTAGCCATGCCTCCTCGTGTGCCTACCTCACAAGACTGCTGCAAAAAACAACCTAGGAGATGACTAAGAAAGCTCTATGTAACCTGAAAAGCTAAATGGCACTGACAATAAATAGTAAAGCAGCAGTAATAATAACCACCAGCAGGTGGAAACTGGCTGCTGACTGGCTTTATTAGGGAGAACAAAAGAGTGTGCTTTCTCCCACACCTGTGGTTCTCAGCCTAAGGGATGTGACCCTCACAATTCTCAGCAGCAGGGAGAGAGGCTATCCATCTATGAGGACTGAATATAGCATAAAAAGCACCACCGGTGGGACTTGAACATGTCATATCTCTGAGAGCCTCAGTTTCCTCATGTATATTTTGGGAATAATTACAGTATTTTCCCCACAAAGTTCTTTTAGCCAGTGCCTAATACATAGAAAGTACCCTATTATTAGGATTACTATTAAGATCATGGTCTCATGTCCTCCCTTCCCTTCCCACTCAGGGAGTTCATCGACCAATTAGGAAAACCAGGTTGGAGTCCTCAGTGAAAACTGCAAACCTTCCCTTGTACCTTGGAAGAAGTCAGAATTACCAACATTCAGGGTTGAATAAATTTGGGGGGCAGAAAATGAGGAAAAAGGGAGCAGGTCACAGCAGCCTGAATGCAAAGAGCCTCAGTAAAATGGACTTCTCCTGCTAACGTTGGACCTGATATCAAACAAGTTTAAGGTCCTCTATTTCCTCATCTATTAAATGGGACAAATTATACCTCAACAGGGTTGCTATGATGAGTCAATGGGATAAGTAGAGAGAACACCCAATGTAGTATCTTGCATTTTGTGAATGTATAATATGTATTTATTAAAAATAATAATATGAGTCAAGATGGTAGGCCCTCACAGGAATGGTGAGCTGTGCCTCAGAGGAGCAGGGCTGGCAATTGGCAGTGTGGTAACAGCAGGTAGGAGACAACAGAGTGGTGATACCGGCTTCCCAGCCTCAGCAGCCCACACACAGCTGGAAGTCAGGTCCCTGATCATCTGTCATGCTGTAGGAGCCCAGATTCAACTGGCAAAGACCTAATGAAGGCTGAAGGCCCATCTGGAGCAATGCCTTGCACCCCAGGTAAGAGGGACCCAAGATGGAACTCTCAGGGCATGGCTCTCGCCAACATGGGATCTCCAAAGGCAGAGGGAAAAAGAGTTGGGTGATGAGTCTGGCAAAGCCTCCCTCTGCCAGCTCGGGTCTTAGGGTTACTCACCCACAAGTCCAGCCTGCTGCAGGCCCCAGAGGGCAGCACCTGTTGTGAAGGCATTCCAGAGTGTGCCCACCACGGCATAGGTGAGGATGGCACCTAAGTTGTCAAAGAACAGCCGGCTAGGCATGAAATAGCCCGAGTCTAGCACAATAGGAGGCAGCAGAAAGAGGAAGAAGGTGCCTGGCTCCAACTGGTATTCGGCTTTCTTAGCCACAGCCAAGACAATGCCTCCAAGCACCAGTCCCAGTAAAATCAGCAGGCAGCTCTCAGGGACCAGAGATGTCACCTTCCGAGACAAGTGAAACACTGCAATGTAAGAAGAGGACCAGGTTTCAGCTTACCAGATACACACACACTGGCCTGTAACCTCTCAATCTTAGGTTATCCAAGGTCAGGACCCCTGACCCTGGGACCAAAGAAGGAGAAAAGAATGCAAGGCTCTTAGAATCTCCAATCTTCCAGGGTTACAAAGTTGTCTATTTCTTGGTGCTCCTACCATGGTAACCTAGACTATTGCTTGCTTTTTCCATTTCCAGAAATGCCCCCTCCTCTCTGCTTCATATCAGGGGACCTCACCTTTCTCTAATTTCCTTTATTCCTAGCCATTATCTGAACCTCGGCAAATGCTACTCAATATACTTTTATGTATAATATAGGTGTAAAAATCAGGGCCTCTGGAGCCAGGCTGCCTGGTCCAAAGCCTGGCTCCTCTATTTACTTGTCTGTGATTTTGAAGCAAATTACTTCACCTCTCTGACTTTCAGTTTTCTCAAGAATAGATTGGAAATAAAAATAGTAAGATTTCATAGGACCACTGTGAGGTTTAAATAAGACAATATACTCAAGCCCAGTGCTTTATAGTAAGACAATATACTTAGCCCAGTGCTTTATAGTAAGCACTCAATAAATGTCATCTATTATTATATTACTGCATCCTGTCTCCCTGTCTAGACCATAATGCATAGTACACCTCCTAGAAGTACTATTCTAGCCCAGTGTGCTTTTCATTGTATAGGCTCACCAAGGACTTGGTAATTTAAAAAGTATTGGGGTTAGCAGTCAGAAAATCTTCAATTCTTCTGTCTCTATCACTTTCTAATTGTGTGATCTCAGGCATATTATTTAATTTACCTGAACTTCAATTTCTTCTCCTGTAATATGGGAAAAATACCATTACACAGGGTGAGAATAAAATGATGATATAATGTGAATGTGCCTAGTAGGATGTCAGACAAAGAGCTGGTTCTCAACAAATGTTAGTTAAATATGACTCTGGGGTAAAATAGCAACAGATCTGACTCTATGAAAAGAGGAGGTGGTATGAAATAGGTTTCTAGCATTATTTCCACTTCTACCTTTGTCCCTAAAATAAGTTCTTTTGGCTATCCCTTGGTCCCTTAGGCCAAGAGTGAATACCTCTCCCCATATTATCCCTGGGGTGGTGGGTAGTGAGGTAGGTTTCCATGTTAGTCTGTGTGAGACCCAATGCCAAGATAATGCCCTTCTCCCCAAAAGGCCTAGGACAGTGCCTGGCACATAGCGGGATCTACATAAAGATTTATTGAATAAAAGTGGGGGAATCTTCTAGCAATGAAACTGGAGGAAGGTATCCCAGAACATTCTACCTATCTTTCTCCTCCTCTCTTTTTTTGACTGATGCAAAGGAGGCTCTTTTCTACCTCCAGGGGAGGTGTCATCCAATTTAGAAAAAGCACAATAATTTATGGGGGAAACTACAGTCATTGCTATAAGCCTAAATAAGACAGGAACTCTCCTGAAACTCACAAACTTCTCAGCAAACCTAATTCTTAGCTCCCAGATCTGAGGTTCCTCTCCCCTTGCTTTCATTGCTGCCAGGCTCTAAGGTAAGTTCAGTCATAGATCTCCCACACACTACCTTTGGTTCCCCTTCTCCTCTCCTTCAGGAACCCTATTCCATTCTCATCTCTAGAGTATGCATCAATCCCAGCAATCCAAAAACATCACCAAGGCCTGTTCTCTGACAGACAGAACCAGGCTCCTGAAAGGCATTTATTTATTTATTTATTTTTATCCTCACCGGAGGACATTTTTCCATTTTTTGTTCAGGTAGAGTGGAAGGGAGAGGAACAGAGAGAGAGAGAGAGACATCGATGTGAAAGGAACACATCGAGTGGCTGCCACCCGCACAACCGACCAGGGCCGGGGACAAACTGCAACCGAGGTACATGCCCTCAGCGGGAACCGAACCCAGGTCTCTCAGGACCGCAGGCCGACGCTCTAACCGCTGAGCCAAACCGGCCAGGGCTCCTGGAAGGCATTTAAAGGCCCATTTTCCATTATTAATAGGCTGCCACAGCAGAGTAGAGAGTTCTTCAGTTCTCGCTCAGACCCTCTCCTCCCAGCAGTGTCCCTGGGGGAGGAGGGAGGCAAATTCTAATCTGTGTGATTCTTACATGAAGGCTGTATTGGTAAGATTGGAGTACAGACTGTGCCAGTATAGATGCAGAATAGCAACACTCAGCTATAATTAGCCATCCCCACAGCAGAGTCTGCACAAAGGGAGGAGGGTCTCTGGTGGGAGGAGGGGCCAGAAGCAGGGAGGAGGGGGCAGAGGCAAGGAAAAGCAGCATTATTCAAGGAAAGGATAAGCACAACCTTCAATGTTGTGCAGACTGAGGGAGGTCGGATGTATGAAAGCATCTACTGCTGGCAGCATACAGTAAGGCCCCAATAAATGGAAGTTTCTTATACCCTGAAGTGGAAAGACTGTAGACCTGAACTTGAAGGGCTGGGGTGGAGTCCCACAGCTAGGCACAAGAAGAGGGCATCTTTAGGGGACTAGAGGAAAAATGACAGCTTAGGATCCCAAAAGACTGGGACACTTGGACCTGGTCTCCAGGGAAGCCTGTTCCTTGGGACCAGGATGCCTGGGTTTGCAGAACACCCATCCCCTCAGTGTCCCCACACGTTTTCACCACTGACAGATTTCTGGGTAGCTGAGGAATGGTGGAGAAGCAAGACTGAAGGGTTTACTGCAAGAGAAAGAGGGGGGTAGAGAGGGCAAAGTCTTTGCCTTTGCCTTTGCCCTCTCGGGATGGGGACGGAGAGAGCTGGGGCAACCCTTGGAAAAGGCAAATCCTCAGAGCTCCCACGCGAGGAGAAGGGGAGGAGGGAAATCCTCAAGAGGCAACGCAGAAACTCAGTGACAGCCGGGACTGTGGAATCGCAACCTAAATCCCGGCACTGTGCAAGAAGCCTGCCCTGATTTGGGAACTAGGGGTTGGGGGTGGTCCACTGCCCACCGCCAGCCGCCGGCCTGGCCCTTGCACATGTACTCACCGATTTTGGCCAGGCTGGCCACCAGGATCCACAGGGCTACCAAGTAGGGGGCCTCCACCTCGTGCCACTGCCAGCGGAAAAGCGCCAACTCTGGGGGAGGTTCGCCCGGGGACCCCGGCTCCTGGGTGGGTTCTTCAGTTGCTGCTGCCACCACGAGGGGCAGCCCTAGGAGCGACAGCGCGGCGCGCAGCATCCTGCTTCCTGCCTAGTCGCCCTCCAGGCACTGCACTGGAGCCGGCCCCACGTCGCCGCGGCCTCCTACCAGCCGCCCCCGCGTCACAAGCACGTGAGAAGCGCTACCCCCAATCCCAACTGATACCCCCAAGCCAGGTACGGACTCCCAGATCCTGCCCCGGGCGTTCGTACTCAGGCCCCCAGCTCCTCCCGTCTAAACCAGTCTCAGCTCTGGAAATTCCCCAGTGCAGCCCACCCCCAAGTCCTGCAACCTATTCCTTTCAATCTGCTTCTCCAAACCTGCCCCACGCCTTCCCCAGCCGGATTCCAGCTGTGAGCGACCACAGCACCCCCGAATCACCAGCGGCGTCCCACCCGCGGAAGGTGTCAGCCCGCCGCGGAAGGGCCAGGGATCTGCCAGGAGGCAGGATCCAGACGAAAGGGGCTCGTCTCCAAGGCAAGTGCCACCGAGCAGAGAGCAGCTGGCCCCTGGTACTCAGCCCACGGCTCTCTCGCTGCAGCCAAGAGATCGCAGGGAGCAGTGCGCCGCCGCCTCCATAGGCGCCGCCCAGTAGAGCCTGGGACCCCCTTCGGGCTCCAGCCCAGATCAGAGCTGCGCACGCGCACTGGGCGCTCCCAGAGAATCGTGTGGACAGCGCTGTCCTCAAGGTCTCCAGAAAACCCAAGGCCCGGACGGGGCCCAAGCTGAGAAGGGGGCTATTCCTCTCATCTCCCAAACCGAGGAGCGCCATTCCTCTTCATTTCCCTCAAACTACAGGAAACTCCTCACCTTTTCCATGAAACTGAAGAGAACGCATCTTCTTTCCCTAAACTACGGAAAACACAGACTATCAATTCCCTTCAAACTAAGAGGAATCCACTCAACTTTCCCCCCAAATCTGAGGGGCATTAGGCGTATCTCGTCTCAAAGTGAGAACCATCTCCGCTTATTCAAACTGAGGGGCACCCATTCCACTTCTTCCCCAAAACTGAGAGAAACGTGTTCTACCTCCCTCCTCAAACTGCGTCATCTCATCCTTTTCCCAGAACTGAGAAGCATCGCTTCCTCTTCTTCCCCCAACTAAAGGAAAATGATCCCACCTCTTTCTTCAAACTGAGTAGAATCTATTTTCACTTCTTGCTCCAAACTGAAAGGGATTCATCTCCCTGCTTTCCCCAAATGAGAGGATCCCATTCACTTCATTCCTCAAACTGAAGGACTCAGGACCATCTCGTCTCTAAACTGAGGGAGACCAGGCCAGCCACTATCTGAAGAAATTTCCGCCCCACCTGCCCTAACAATTCCTCAAAGAGAGCGCAGCAAAGAAAGCCTTCCGGCCCGCTGCGCGCTCTCGAAGATGGGGCGCGAGCTCGGGTTTTCCCGCCTGCCTCACTAGAGAACTAACGGGATTAAGATCGCGCCCTCTGAGTGGCCAGCCGCAAGCCCTGCCTCCGGCAGTGGTTGCCCGCCCCCGAACGCTTTCCGGGACGACTCTTGGCTCCACCTCCTCCCTTGGCCCCGCCTCCGCCTGGCCCCACCCCCTCAGCCGCGTCCAGTCCGGTCCCGCCCAGATCCAGTTGAGTAGTCTTCCCAACGGGTTCCAGACCTGTTCCGAGACGCGCGGTACGGGCCAGTGGCAAAGCCATGGTTGGCGGGGAAGACCGCAGGGACGGGGAGCCGGTATCAGTGGTGACCGTGCGGGTGCAGTACCTGGAGGACACCGATCCTTTTGCATGTGCCAACTTCCCGGAGCCGCGCCGGGCCCCCACCTGCAGCCTGGACGGGGCGCTGCCCCTGGGCGCACAGCTACCCGCGCTGCACCGCCTTCTAGGGGCGCCACTCAAGGTGAGGGGCGCCGGAGAAAGGTTGAGGGCAATCGAGAGTTCAGGGTTGGCGCCATGAAAGTCCTCGGGAGGCGCTCCTCGGAGAGAAGCTGCAGTGGGTACGCTCCTCTGGGAAAGTTTTGGGCTGGGGACCCAAGGTCTACGCGGCCCCGTTTGCGAGAACGCCTCTCAAGTTCAGGGGAAGCTGAAGAAGGGAGATGGGAGCTTGTGGTCTGCGCCACCCTGGCTGCCCCTTGAAGTGAGGCCCACCTGGGGAGGTGCTGGGGAGAGGGGCTCCACTTGCTGCCTGTCTGCCTGGGTACCTGCTTTGGATTGGATGACGGTAGATATTTGGGTGGTAGCGGACCTAGGAGGAGGAGCTGGGGATGTGTGGACTAGCTTTTACTTCACCTGAAGCCGGGGCGGAACTACGAGGAGGGGCGGACCCAGGGCGGGCCACTAAAGGTGGCCAAGGCTTTTCGAGCAGTGTCTGGAGGTTGGATTGGATTGCTCTTGTAGGTGGGAGCTCTGGCTTGGGCGTGCCGGAGGCGAAGAGACTTCACGGAGTAAGGGGAGTCCTCGAGAAGCGAGCCCGGGACACGCCGAGCGCTGGAGGCTCCACGGGTGGAAAAGCCCTCTGAGTCACAGCCCCCGCCATCCTGTACTCGCGCAGCCGCGGGCCGGCAGCTGGAAGGGAGGGGGCGGGCCGGGCTAATTTTAAACCGCCGCCTTGCCCTACTTTGCCTGAGCCCCGGAACCGACTCTTGCACAGTACCAGGAAAAGCCCTTTTCCAGATGGCGGTCCCTACCTCTCCTACCGCTCGCGGCACTCAGCCCCTCGCAAGCAGCCCTTTCCGGCGCGCGTCGGGTTTCCAGGCCAGGACTTTGGGAGGCGCACCCCCCCCCCCCCGGGGCTTCCCTGCCTGTGGTGCGGGAAAGGAGAGAGAACTGGTGGGGGTGCTTTCCCCTGCAGGGTTGCCGAATTGTGCAAACTTGCTCCCCACCCCCACCCCGGGCCCGGGGGTCCCCCTTGGAATGTGCCCTGGGCGCCGGGCCCCCAGCCTGCATTCTTCGCGCTGCGGGCCAGCCCCGCCTCTGAGAACCTGCGGAAGAGCTGGTGAGACTGTTGGCCTGTGGAATTGCGCGTGTCCCTGCAAAGTCCGGATTCAAGGCCACGACTTGAAAGTGGCAGTATACTGTCCACTCCAGCCCTGCCCTGCTGAAAGAGCAAACAAGTGGGCCTGGAAGAAGCGCGTCCAGCCCAAGACCACCTCACATTCAGGATGAGCGCTAGAGAGAGAGGGGTGCCGAACTGAGTCTAGGTTCCTGAAACTCGGTGCTGAAATAAGCCTGGAGCACTAGAGAGAACATAGTATTCCTCCCACCCCCACTCTAGGACAGGATTTAACCCTGACACCCCTCTTTCCAATTAGGGGCAGATTTGGGATGTCAGCTACCTCCCAAAGAAAGAGGCTCAGAACACCTCCCATTTAGGGACCTTTAACCCTACTTAGGTAGGTGCTCTGCCCCCTGTTCTCTGCTCCCCAGCTGAGGACACTGCTGAACTCAGAGAATGTGTTAAATCTCTGCCAACTCAGTCGTTCCTAGTTTCTCCACTTTCAGTATCTCCCTCCTGGTGTACCTGAGGACTGCCATATTCTCCACTGGCAGGATATGGGGGTGGACACTTGGTTTCCGCTCTGCCTAGAGCCAGAACTCCTTGGGGCTGACAGCTCTGCCAGCAATGGTCAGATGCACTGTGATGTGCTCATCCCAAATATAAACTGTGACCACAGCCCCAGAATAGAAGGCTGGAGGAAGAAGGGCTGAAAATAGGGTAGGAGCAGGGACATCAGAGATCTGAGAGGGGGGAGCAGTGCCCCTCCTTCCAGGAAATGTCAACAGCTGGTTCCTCCCCTAGTCCTATAGATGGGTGCCCCAGGTGCACAGACATGACTCAAGCCTAACTTGCTAGCCCTCTAGAGGGGGAGAGGTGGCCCAGAAATCCAGGCATTCCTGTGCAGGCCTGTAGAGCAGAAATAAGAGGAAGGGGTTTTGTACTCCCTGCTTCATCCTCTATACAGTTGTCCAGTAAAGGAACAGGACACAGCCAAGTCTGTCCTACTCTGGGCACTGACCCTCATCATCCCTGCAGACCCTGCCCCCTCCCTGGGGATGTACAGAGGCCCAGCCCACTTTCTCTCTTGGGCTCCACTCCACCTCACTGGGCAGGCCTCTTGAGTTCCCCTAGGGGCTTCCTTTCTAAAGGACTTGGAGTTTTCACATCAGAGAGGGCCTTGCTTATTTCCTCCCAGTCTAGGAGGAAGCTCCTGGCTACAGCCTCTGACTCATCTCCTGGCCCGGGGGGGGGGGGGGGGGGGGGGGGGGGGGGGATGGGGGATGGGGGGGAGAGGATGAGGCAGGGTCCTGGCAGTGCCTTGGGCCATGCCTCATGTCCCCAAGGAAATTCAGGAATATCTATCTTCCCTCTATTTTTTTTTTTCCTCACCCGAGGACATTTTTCCATTTTTTGTTCAGATGGAGCGGGAGGGAGAGAGAGGAACAGAGAGAGAGAGAAACATCGATGTGAAGGGACACATCGAGTGGCTGCCACCCGCACGACCAACCAGGGCCGGGGACAAACTGCAACCGAAGTACGTGCCCTTAGCGGGAACCGAACCCGGGTCTCTCGGGACCGCAGGCCGACGCTCTAACCGCTGAGCCAAACTGGCCAGGGCTATCTTCCCTCTATTGCCAGAGCCTATCCCAGCCCAGGGACCTGCCCCTGCATCAAGGAAGAACCTGGCCTTCTGGCCTTCAGCTCACCTCCTTAACCAGAGCTGCCCAGTCCCACCTTCCCTGTTACATTTTGTCCTTCTGGGTGGTGCCTCAGGAACCCCTCCCTTACACCAAAAAGGCCCTGCCCTGGCTTCTCCCTGGGCTCTGGGCAGAGGGACGTGGGTGCTGCTCTAATCCTGATGCAAAGGCCAGAGAAGGCCCCTACTCCTAGAAGCAGAGAGAGTCCTAGAAATCTGTCCATTACCAGCAACTTTGTTTCCCCAGCTGTGGCTAAAGATTAGAGTAGAACAGGGGTAGCACTGTCCTGGAATGTTTCCTGACCTTGCCCCCTCCTCGCTCTAGCCCCATTTTACCCTTCAGAAGCAGTTGTAGCAAGGGGGTAAAGTTTTAACCTGACCTGCTGGGACAGGGACCAACTGGAGGGGTCCCAGAGGATTCTTAAGGGTGAGATGGGGTGGTGCTCTGGTGATGAACTGAGCCCTATAGTTCCTTGGTATGAAGGTTTCTTTGGGAGATGGTAGAAGATTGGGATGTGGGTATGAGTCAAGGCTTCCTCCCCACTTTCCCTACAGCTGGAATGTCCAATTAGCTGATCATTCTGGGCTGCAGCCTGGTAAGGGACCCCAGGACCTAGGTCCTGGCAGAAGGAGGCACTATTACCCAAGCATGTATGGTGTGTGTGTGTGTGTGTGTGTGTGTGTGTGTGTGTGTGTTAGCATTCTCTTTGCTGGAACCGGGAGGACCAGTTTGGGGTATTTGCAGAGTCCAGAAAGCTGAGGGGCCATCTTCAGCTCTTGGCAAACCTACAGGCCCCAACCCTCACTCTACCTCCCCTCCAGGGTTCCTTGGAGCAATTCCAATGAACATACATTTAAGATCTAGGTCAGTTAACCCTAGTCCCATTCCTGGTTGTGCAGCCTGGTACAAATTCACTAAATTTCTTTGCCTTGGTTTCCTCACCTGCAAAAGAATTATTAGAATCAAACAAATCAGGCAGCCCAGTGTGTGACATAGAGGAGGCGTAACAAAAGTGGATTTCTCTCCACAAGGCCTATTCATGTCATCTCATCCAGGAAGTCACAGTCTAGTTGGAGACCCAAGATAACAGGAAAGGAGGAGGGTCATAGAGCACAGGGTCTTGTGTTTATAGGAAAAGAGAAGAAAAAGGCAATTAACAGATTATTTCCTAAAACAAGAGTCCTTCAGCATATAATTCTGTCCTCTTCTCCATCTTTCCTGTACTGTGTCCCTGGCATGTTCATTCTCACCTGGCTGCTATGAAAAATATTGGGGAGTAGACACCAGGGTCCCCTATGCTTGGCCCTGCATATAAAATCATATGTAACAAGTTGGTTGGGGCTGCCAGAAAAACCTGAGCCCAGAGAATCAAAAGAAAAGTGGTCTGGAGGTTAAAGTGAGGGGCTGAGCCTGGGAAGAATGGCGGAGGGACACCACCCCAGGACAGACAGCAGAGAAGTGCAGAAGACAAGAGCCAGGAGGGAGTCAAGGATGTAGATCCACATTGACCATGTGCTGACCCTAAGCACTGTTAGCAGTGACCAGGGTTTGGGCTTACTCAGGCCTGGCCCAGCCCCAGGGTGTGAGAAACAAGGCCCAGAGGTTTGGCTCTCAGAAGGGTGACCCCAGGAAGGGGCCTGGGGTGTGAGGGACAAGCACCACTCAGTTGGCAGGAAGTCTCTGCTCTTTGCTGCTTGTCTGACCCTAGCCCCCTCCTCCATCTTCATCCAAGACAAACAGCTAGAGTAGGGAACATTGTCCTGTAGGCTTTGGGCTGCCAATTTTCCTGGACCTCCTCTCCAGAAATGGACAGGTGACATGGTTAGGGCAAGATTGGACAGGTGACTTGGTTAGGGAAGCCACAGCTACCACCAGGGTTTAAGCCTGCTCATCTGAGGAGGCTGAGGTTGGTGAGCTTAGTCTTCAGGACCCCTGCCCGACATGGATGCAGGCATCCCAGGTATCCTGCACACTTGGGGTTAGAGTGTACAGGAATGCATGCCGGCCCTGGCCGGTTTTGCTCAGCGGTTAGAGCATCGGCCTGCGATCCAGAGAGACCTAGGTTCAGTTCCCGCTGAGGGCACGTAACTTGGTTGCAGTTTGTCTCCAGCTTGGCTGGGTCGTGCTGGTGGCAACCACTCGATGTGTCCCTTTCACGTCAATGTTTCTCTCTCTCTCTCTCTCTCCCTCCCACCCACTCTATCTGAACAAAAAATGGAAACATGTCCTCAGGTGAGGATAAAAAATAATAATAAATTTTAAAAAAAGAATGCATGCAGGAAGGGAAGAGAGTTGGGCCTGAGCTTTCTGTGGGTGTGCTTCTTGGGCCTGTGCCTGGCCAGTGAATATATATATGTATATATACATATGTATTCATATATATATTCTCCATATATACCTGGGTGTGTAAGCAGTCACCTTGTATAATCTGATCACCTCTCCAGTGTTTATCTTTATATCACTCCACCCCTCCCCTTGCTTAGCACTCTTGGCCATTGTGCTTCTGCATTTATCTGTGGCCTTTCTCTGAGTCAAGTTTGCCTGCCTCCCAGACTAGACTGGAAAGTAAGGAAGGTAGAGGCAGTGTCTTGTTCCTTGCTATGTCCTCAACACCTAAAACTAGCCCAGTTTTTGAATGTTTAAATGAATGAGCTGTTCTATACATGTGTGATTTGGGGGAATCCCTGAGGAGAGTGTGGCTCTGGGAGAGATACATTTCTCTAGGGTTCCAGAAGGAGATACAGCTGTGCCTGGATGGGGGTGGGGAGGGTAGGTGCTGAGTCATACTGTGGGAAGAGGGATCAGAAGGAATGTGGGGCTACCCTCAGCTGAGCTGCCCCTGGACAAAGTACCCCAGCCCTGGGGCCTTGGCCCCCCCCTGCCCCATCTCAGGCCTGTTCCCAGTAGGCCCTGGAGAAGATGACTCTGTTTCAGGGAGAGAGGCCAGGCCCGTCCAAGACGCCCAGGCAGGGCAGGCAGCCAGGCAGGAAGTGGGATAGAAAACAGGCTGGAGTATTTGTCCTATGCCCCATGTCCCAGGCAGTGGGGGGAGGTGGTCACCCAAGGGCCTCACAGGAAGGGACTGAACTGCCAGGAAGGAGCTGGGTCAGGCTCTCAGGCATAGCAGGGGTGCTACACAGAGGCAGGGGTGGGGACAGGACCTGACCTTCCTTTCCTCCCCATGGGACCAAGGGCAGCTGGAAACCTTTGGGCTAGGTCCAGAGCAAGGCAGGGTTGACGGAACAACAGGACAAATGTTGGGGTTGACTTTCCCAGTGAGATGGAAACCAGAGGCACCCTGACTCTACAGAGGGGAGTTCTCCCTGGGTCATGGCACCTCAAGGAATGAGGCCACTTAAGGGGACTTTGCTATGGAGGAGGTGTCTGGGAGAGGCATAGTGCTGCCATCAGACTCTCCATAGTCCATAGTCCATAGTCACCTTACTAGGTCCTTCTACAGGTGCTTCTCAAGCAGCCATGTGTCCTGCCCAGTGGTGGAGGGGAGCCAGGCTCAGCGGGAAGAGAGACATGGGAAGCAGATACATGTTGGAGCATGTGCCTTTTGCAGGTTTCAGGGACCCACTGTAGACTGACAGTGTCAGACCCTAAATTCTGGTTTTCAATAGGCCCCTTGGAGGCCGCTGAGGTCCAGCTAGGACCATGGTCACTGTAGCCCACTTAAGGGCAGGGCAAAGACCCTCAGGCCTGGAGGGACTGGGAGCCTGTGGATTACCCCCTGCTCCTCACTATCTTAACTCAAGGATACACATATACACCTCCCAGCTGGGTTTGCACCTCCCAGCATTCTTAACGCTTTCTCCTCAGGCTTAAACACTTTGTGGCTGCAACTTATCACCCCAGGCTGGAGTATTTGTCCTATGCCCCATGCCCCAGGCAGTGGGGGGAGGTGGTCATCCAAGGGCCTCACAGGAAGGGACTGAACTGCCAGGAAGGAGCTGGGTCAGGCTCTCAGGCATAGCAGGGGTGCTACACAGAGGCAGGGGTGGGGACAGGACCTGACCTTCCTTTCCTCCCCATGGGACCAAGGGCAGCTGGAAACCTTTGGGCTAGGTCCAGAGCTGTGAACTTCCTCGAAGGCAAGAACTTCCTTCCCTTCCATCTTCTCTCCATTCTCCTTCCTCATTCATGTTCATTAGCTCAACACATGTGTAGTGAGCACTTACTATGTGCCAAGTGCTGTACTAGGCTCAGCAGATATAGCATGCAGCAAGACTGACATGGTGCCTGAACCCACAGAACACATAGTTACAGAGAAAAGAGACCAGTATCTAGGATATTGTACTGCTCTGTGGAAGGCCTACATGGCGTGGAGTGGGTTGCATAGCATTGGCTGGAAGAGTCAAGGAAGTTTTTTTAAAATATGTTTTTATTGATTTTGGGGAGAGAGAGATAGAAACATAGATGTGAGAGAGAAACATCAATTGGCTGCCTCCTGCACGCCTATAACTGGGGATGGAGCTCGCAACCCATGCCCTGACTGGGAATCGAACCAGGACCTCTCAGTCCATGGGACGACACTCAATCCACTGAGCCATGCCGGCTGGGCATCAAGGTAGTCTTTTCAAAAAGCCTTATCTAATCTGAAAATAAGAATGGGTAGGTATTAGCCAGGAGAAGACATAGCACATACAAAGGGCAAGAAAGCATGGCACCTGAGAAGGATGGGCTTTGCACATGTAGGTACATGAAGAAGGACTGCTGAAGGAATGCATGGCTGCAGTGCAGACCCTGTCATGTGTTTCTCTGCCAGCACCCTGAGTAGGAGGTAGGAGGTCACGAGGTCTCTGTACATACCCCTGCTACTTCTACCCCAGCCCTGACAGCTGTTCTCTTTGCCCCCAGCTAGAGGACTGTGCCCTACAAGTGTCTCCGTCTGGATACTACCTGGACCCTGAGCTGTCCCTGGAAGAGCAGCGGGAGATGCTGGAAAGTTTCTATGAAGAGATTAGGTCAGAGCTGATGAGGCCAGAAAGACAAAGCTGGCCCCAACTTTGGCCCCACAAGGGGCTAGCTAAGGTGTCAGCAGCCAAAACATCTAGCCTGGGCCACATGTGGTCACCTCCACACTTCCCCAGGGAACTGTGCCAGGGGAATCCCAAGGCCTGGCCAGTGTTACCTGCTGCCCAGGGAGTGGGGGCTCTACCACATACCTGAGATACCTGTGTTTGCATAAACCCTTCTTGTCTGGCCAATCCTTGGGCTTGGAGGAGCAATTGGGGAGGAAGGAGCTGGGCCTGGGTTGGCAAGTGGGGAGGTCTTTGGTTGCTTTGGTATAGGGGAAGGGACCTCAAGGAATGGGCTGGGAGCTGCTGACTAAGCTGCTTGATTCCAGCAAAGGGCGGAAGCCTACGTTGATCCTGCGGACCCAGCTCTCTGTGAGGGTCAATGCCATCTTAGGTGAGTGTGTGAGAGCATCAGTGTCCAGCAACCCCCCACCCCCGCCCAGCTGGCTCAGTTTCTTTCAGGTCTGTGCTGGACAGTGGGACAGGGCAGATCAGAGACAGTATATGTGGCCCTCCCCATTCCTATCCTGACCTTTCCTTCCAGGACAGGGCTGATGCTGCAGCTAGATTGTGGTGGGGGCTGCCCAGAGTCAGGGAGTAAGTAGAGGAGGAGTTGGAGGGTTCAAGAGTACTAGAATATTCTTTGGTGGGGGGTTGTGGTTGTGTCCCAAAAGAAGAGGGTGTCTGTGTCCCCTTGAGGTTACTATGTCCACCTACCCTTTGCAGAAAAATTGTATGGCTCCAGTGGCCCTGAACTCCGCCGCTCCCTCTTCTCATTAAAGCAGATCTTCCAGGTGAGGCCCAGAGGTGGGCTGAGGGTAGGAATCTAGCCTGAGCCCCCCTAAACTTCCCCATGATGCCCCCCAGGAGGATAAGGACCTGGTGCCTGAATTCGTGCACTCTGAGGGGCTGAATTGCCTGATCCGTGTGGGTGCTGCTGCTGACCACAACTACCAGAGCTACATCCTCCGAGGTCAGCCCCACCCCTCCCCCATGACCCTTGCCTTCAATGACCCCTTACTGACCTCTTCTTGTTTCTGTGTCCCCAGCACTAGGCCAGCTGATGCTTTTTGTGGATGGGATGCTAGGGGTGGTGGCCCACACTGAGACTGTGCAGTGGCTGTACACATTGTGTGCCAGTCTGGTGAGTGGCCCTTTAACCAGCCATGTATCCTTTTCCCACTGCCTCTTTCGGGGCCTCAGTTTCCTCTTCTGTAAGATGGGCTAGAAGGGAGTGAGTCTGTGGCATCTCTAAGCCTAGAATGCCCTTCAATGTTTGGGCCTGGAGCCAAGGTCTTCTTGTGGAGATTCTCCTCTCTGGATCCAGCCCAGGAGCCCTTCCCCCACCACACCAGGAGCTGGCACAGGTCAGCCCCACTCATATGTGGTGATCCTTCTTCCTAGTCCCGTTTGGTGGTGAAGACAGCGCTGAAACTGCTGCTGGTATTTGTGGAATACTCTGAGAGCAATGCACCACTGTTCATCTATGCAGTCAACTCTGTGGCCCGCACCACCGGTCAGAGACTGTCCTTCCCTCCCCTACCACTTAGAACCCCCTCTCCTACCTTTCTCCACATGACTGCTCCCCTTTCTGTGTGGCAGGTGCTCTTCCATGGGCCAATCTTGTGTCCATCTTAGAGGAGAAGAATGGTGCAGACCTTGAGTTGTTGGTGTACACAGTCACCCTCATTAATAAGGTGTGTGTGCAAGTGGGAACCAAATGCTATTTATGAGCTCCTTAGGCTCCTGACCTCAGCCCCCATCAGCCTTAACTTTGCCCTCCTATCCCCACCCTTTAGACACTGGCAGCGCTCCCAGATCAGGACTCCTTCTATGATGTGACGGATGCACTGGAACAGCAGGGCATGGAGGCACTGGTCCAGCGCCACTTAAGTGCTACAGGCACTGACATCGACTTGCGAGCACAGCTTGTGCTCTATGAGGTGGGCTAAGCCACCAGGGTCTATCTGGGAGCAAGAGGAGAGGAAGGATGGGGCGCTGTTCCCCAGCACCCACCCTAACTCAGCTGTTCATATCTGGGTTCACATCTGCTAGAGCGCCCTGCGGTTGGAGGATGGAGACATTGAGGAAGCCACTGCAGGTGGGCGGCGGGAACGTAGAAAGCCCTCTTCAGAGGAAGGCAAGAGGAGCCGCAGATCTCTAGAAGGCGGGGGCTGCCCTGTGCGTACCACAGAGCCTGGGTAAGAACATGCCTCAGCAGTTGGGGAGGAGTGATGGGTGTGCCAGGAGTAGCACTGTCTCCTGACAGACCCTTCTTCTAGTCCCACAGGCCCTGCCCTGCCTACAGGCCCTGCACCCAGCCCAGTGGGCCCTGCCTCTGGCCTCTGTACCTCGGTTAACCTCTTTTCCACCCTCTCCGTGGCACCCTCAGCTGACATCTTCTGTGAGAGGAACATCTACAAGTAAGTAGGGAGATAGAGGCTGCCTGTGCCCAGAATCTTCTCCCCGACTGTCCCTCTTGCTCTGCTTCCCTCCATGGACCCGCCTCCTCTGCCCAAACGCGTGCGTTCTCTCTCTCTTTCCAGACTTCACCAAACTGCTCCTGTTTGGTAAGTGACTGCTGGGGGGGGGGGGGGTTCAGCTCTGACTGACCTCCTCCTCCTGCGACTTCTTTTCCTCTCTTTCTGGCATTCCGTCTGGTCTTGGCCAATCATATCTGTCTCCCTACCCCCTACTGTCTTTCTGTTTCACCATCACTGTCTCTGCCTCTTGTTCTGCTCTGTCTGTGTCTCTTACTACACACCCTGACTGGCTTCATGTCACTCTCTCCCCTCCACTTACAGTTTCCTCTTGTCATGCCTCTCCCAACTGTGGCTGGGAAGGAATCGCTGATAGTTCTGCCCAGCTCTGTGTGGTGTGTGCAACTGGGCTTTGGGGTAGAGCAGATACACCACAATTACTATCTCTTCTCTCATCTCCTACCCAGGGCCTCTGAAAACCCACCTGTCCCCCAGTCCCCTACTGGGCAGGCCAGGCTGGAGTAAGTACAGAGGCCAGCCTACCAGGCCTGCCATGTGCTCAGGGCTTCAGCATTGCTTCTCCCAGCTGGGGGTCTACTTGCCTGATGCAGCCAGAGTAGGCCCCTTCTCTCCCAGACTTATGCCTCCTTGGTTACCTAAGGACTAAGCACTGGAATTAGTTCACTGAGGTCATAGTGGTCCCTGCACTTCAATAGTGACACCCTGACAGCTTTGACTGAAGATGAGGACACGGACTCCCAACCTGGAGCCCATGTCCTCAGGCCAGGAATAGAGCAGGGAGGGGATCTAGGGTGCTGTGTGGTGTGGAGGTAGAGGAGCAACCTGGGGCTAAGGTAAGGGCTGGGGCTGAGGGCCAACAGAGACTGGAGTGGGCAAAAAAGACACATTGGGTCACATTCATTACTTCAACATAAACTGATTTCCTGTCATTTACCAGGCCCCTTTCTGGGCACAAGTCATAGCTCTCAGAAGCTGTAGACATGTTAAGGGAGGGACAGTCTGATGTGCTCATTGGGACAGCTATCTCCTTCCCCTGCTCTAATGGTCCTTGTCTAGAATCAGGACAATTAACATGAACAGCAAGGTTTCAAGTTAGGCATTAAGTAGAACTTCTCTCTGTATGTTGACCTGGGAATGCTGTAGGTTGACCCCAGATGTGGAGGATTGGACAGGGGCTGGACTTGGGGGGTTTGGGTCCTGGGTCTGTTCAGCGCATGGTCTGTTCCTCTGTGTGCCTGCAATTAGGGGCAGAGCCCAGGGGCCCAGCATGTGTACCACCCTGGGCTGGGGTGTGTTAGACACTCTCACTGACAAGTGCCTCCCTCCCAGAGCCCGTTTCCTGGAGAATGTGGCAGCAGCAGAAACAGAGAAGCAGGCTGTGCTGGCCCAGGGCCAGGCAGAGACATTGCCTGGGGCAGTGCCTGATGAGGCTGATGGGCACCCAGGTGAGTATGTGGGTGGGCAGAATCTACCCATGTTTCCTTGTTGCTCCACAGAGGGCAACTGACAGCTGCTTTTCTTTTTTTAGATACCCGGGAACTATGGGTTTCCCCTGAAACAGTCCCTGCACCCAGAACACCCCAGAGCCCTGCCCCCCGAGTCCTGCTCCGGGCCCAGCGAAGCCTTGAGTCAGAGCTCAAGGAGACATTGGCCCCACCAAGCCCCAAGGCTGAGCTCACCCAGGAGCTCACTACCTGTATCCCCAAGCTCTGCATTGGAGACCTGGACTTCTCAGATCTGGGGGAGGATGAAGATCAGGACATACTAAACATAGAGTCTGTGGAGGCTGAGAAAGGGGTCCCACCACTCCCACTGCCCTTGCTCTCTGAAGGACCCCCACCTCCTCCACCCCCACCTCCCCCACCCATCAAAGGCCCCTTCCCACCACCTCCACCTCCAGCTGCCCCTCTTCCCACCTCAGCGCCGGATGGCCTAGCCCTCCCCACCAAGAGGAAGACAGTAAAACTCTTCTGGAGGGAGCTAAAGCTGGCTGGGGGCCATGGAGACTCTGGGAGCCGCTTTGGGCCCTGCTCCACCCTGTGGGCCTCACTGGAGCCTGTCTCAATAGACACGGCCCGGCTGGAACACCTGTTTGAGTCCCGTGCCAAGGACGTGTTACCTTCCAAGGTAAACGCATCCTCATCTGCAAGGTAACCTCAGTGAGGGGGTAGGGAATCAGACCTCAAGGGTCCTGACTGCTGGGCTGCCACTCATTTCCCACATGGGGAAACCGAGGCAAAGAAAGAAGTGAGGACTTGTTTGAGGTCTCTCAACAAGGGATCAGCAGAGCCCTAACTAGCATCTAAGCTCATCCCAAGTCCTTCGACATCCCAGATCCGTGCCCAGTTGTGGGGTGACCCCGCCATTTGGCCATTTAGAAGGGGTCCTCTTAGGTTGTTGCCCTAGTTAGTCCCTTTCTGAATCTTACACTGCCCTTTTCCCAACCTCAAAGAAAGCTGGTGAGGGCCGCCGGACAATGACCACAGTGCTGGACCCCAAGCGCAGCAACGCTATCAACATTGGCCTAACCACACTGCCACCTGTGCATGTCATTAAGGCTGCCCTGCTCAACTTTGATGAGTTTGCTGTCAGCAAAGATGGCATTGAGGTGGGGATAACCAGCTGAGGGTGTGGGAGGTGGGAGATCCAGCCCCTCTCCTTTGGCCATTGGGCATTTCCTGTCCCTCCAGTGGTGGGCATGGTCTTGGCAGAGCAGTCTCCAGACCCTTGGGCTCCCCAGATAGCCTGGGGGGGGGGGCGGCGTCAAGACCAACACCTGAGGCCTCAGGCCATCACTGAGGGGCCTATGTGGGTGGTGATTGTGTCCTCAGAAACTACTGACCATGATGCCCACGGAGGAGGAACGGCAGAAGATTGAGGAGGCCCAGTTGTCTAATCCTGACATCCCTCTAGGCCCAGCTGAGACTTTCCTGATGACTCTTGCCTCCATTGGGGGCCTGGCTGCCCGCCTACAACTCTGGGCCTTCAAGCTGGACTATGACAGCATGGAACGGGTACTTGGGTCATGGGATGGGACAGGCAATGGAGGCAGGTGAGTATGATGACCATGTAGTCTGAGTCCTTGGCCTCCCACACCAGGAAATCGCAGAGCCACTGTTTGACCTGAAAGTGGGCATGGAACAGCTGGTGCAAAATGCCACCTTCCGCTGCATCCTGGCCACCCTGCTGGCTGTGGGCAACTTCCTCAATGGCTCCCAGGTGAGTGACAGCACATGAGGGCTGGGGGCCAGGCTCTGGAGTCAACCAGGCCCAGGCTCAGACGAGGTCCTTTCAGAGCAGTGGCTTTGAGCTGAGCTACCTGGAAAAAGTGTCAGAGGTGAAGGACACAGTGCGCCGGCAGTCACTGCTGCACCATCTCTGCTCCTTGGTGCTCCAGACGCAGCCGGATTCCTCTGACCTCTACTCAGAAATCCCCGCCCTGACCCGTTGTGCCAAGGTTAGCACCAGCCAAAGGCTTAAATAAGACTGACCATGGCATGAGAGAGCACTGCTTCCTGGGGCTGGTTTCTCCCCTCATTTCATCAGCTGTGCCAGGGCTTGCTTGACTACAGGTGTTTGTGTGAGCTGTCCTCTGCCAGAAAAGCTTTCCTCTATTGGCCTGGCTACACCTACTCAGTCTTTGCGTCTCAGTTTAGTTGCCACTTCCCCAAGAAACCTTTTCTGTTCCCCACTGCATCAAGTGGACTTGCCGGTCTCCTGCAGCAGACTGTGAACTTTTGGAGGGCAGAGGCTGATCTCATCTGTGTACCTACAGTCAGGCTGACCAGCCTGGTGCAAAGGCAGCCTCAGGCAGTACCTTCTTGTGGGGGGACAGCCTGTGTACCCCCCTGCTTTTCCAGGTGGACTTTGAACAGCTGACTGAGAACCTGGGGCAGCTGGAGCACCGGAGCTGGGCAGCTGAGGAGAGTCTGCGGAGCCTGGCCAAGCATGAGTTGGCCCCAGCCCTACGTGCCCGCCTCACCCACTTCCTGACCCACTGTGCCCGACGCGTTGCCATGCTTCGAGTAGTGCACCGCCGTGTTTGCAACAGGTGGGATCATGGGCCCAAGAAGCAAGACCATCACCATCCCCCACCCCCCAGGTAGAACTTACCATACCTTCCTATCCTGACCTGCCTAGGTTCCATGCCTTCCTGCTATACCTGGGGTACACAGCACAGGCAGCCCGTGAAGTGCGCATCATGCAGTTCTGCCACACATTGCGGGAGTTTTCGCTGGAGTACCGGACTTGCCGGGAACGGGTGCTGCAACAGCAGCAGAAGCGGGCCACATACCGTGAGCGCAACAAGACCCGAGGACGTATGATCACTGAGGTGGGTACCACTTCCAGGTTTTGACTGCCACTCCCATGGTTTCTTTCCCTGGCTCCCAGCTCATCCTTCTCCCCTCTCCAGACAGAGAAGTTCTCGGGTGTGGCTGGGGAAGCCCCCGGCAGCAACCCATCTGTCCCAGTGGCTGTGGGTAGTGGGCCAGGCCAGGGTGATGCAGACAATCACGCCAGCATGAAGAGTCTGCTGACCAGCAAGCCTGAGGACACCACACATGGCCGCCGTAGCAGAGGTGGGACTTGTGGCCACTAGGGAGAATGGGTTTTGCTTCAGGGCCACATTGGCCTGACCTCCCTATCTGGCCTCCCTCAGGCCTGGTCCAGAGCAGCTCCCTAGTGATGCCCATGGCAGTGGGGCCCTCCACTGCACCCCCAGAAGAACACTCCAGTTTACCCAGTGACACTTCAGATGAAATCATGGACCTGTTGGTGCAGTCAGTGACCAAGAGCAATCCTCGTGCCTTAGCTGCTCGGGAACGCAAGCGTTCCCGTGGCAACCGCAAATCTTGTGAGTACTACCCACGTGCCCGCTGCCCACTTTATCCCCATCAACCCCCTCCAACCCTCCTCTGTTCCTGCAGTGAGACGGACGTTGAAAAGCGGGCTTGGAGAAGACCTGGTGCAGGCACTGGGACTGAGCAAGGGACCCGGCCTAGAGGTGTGAAGGTGCTGCCTCCAGGATATCTATCTGGGCCACAGCCTGCATGCAAAAGAACTATAGAGTTAGGAGGGACCAGAGCAGAATTCTGGGCATCTTCTCAACCCTGGGGTCACTCTATACCCAATGGCCAGTGCCTTGAGCAGTATTATCTGTGTGTGTGTGTGTGTGTGTGTGTGTGTGTTTGCATGTATGAGTTCCCTGAACATGTGGAGCATAATAAAGTTTTCTTAGCCAATCCAAGAGACTTTTTCTTCTTTCAAGGTAAAGACCATGCTTAGTCTATAGCAGAAGGAAAATACCAAAGTATTAGCTCTTCCTGACTCACCCACACAGCCATTAGCCATATTCTAAGCCATTTATTCAACAATCTTATGCCTTAGACTGCTTTTGGCCCCTGGACTAGGCCCTCATCACTCCTGGCATGAGGCCATGCAGCCTGATAGTCATCCAGGGCCCAGTAGCCGGTAGTAACAATGTTAGTGGCTATAATCGTTTCATCTGCCGCCGTTCCTGTCGGCGCTGCCTCTTCTCATTGTGCTCTGGTGCTGGGGCACCACTGTCTGCCGTGAACCAAGGCCCCAGCACATTCACCCACAGGAGATAAAGGGCCCGTCCTGGAGCCTAGGAGAGAAAAGATAACTTGAAGCCAGGTTCAGGAAATGAAAGAAGAGAAGGGTTAGATGCCCCAGCCTCTTCTTGGGAGCCCAACAACCCATGTACCAGAAGCCAGAAGGACCAGATGTAGAGGGAAAAGCAGCTGAGCACCTGCACAATGGCTGTCAGTAGGATCACATCCTTAAGGTGCCTGTGGATAGAAGGGAGATTACAAGGGCCAAAAACAATAAATGGGCCCCAATTCAGCTCCCACCTCTTCAAGTTGCAGGCAGCTGTGGGTCTTGGGCTATCGGGGCCCCAGCACCACAGCCCTGGGGCCGCTCACCTGGGCTGGCGGCGGGGGACACTCACTCTGCCATGCCCTGCTCCATGTTGAGGTCCATCCCACCATCCATCAGGGCCCCATCCTCAGAGAAGGCCGCCTGTGCCATTGAGCTCATAGAGTGGTAGCTGGCCCCATATACTGCCAGACTAAAGCCCAGGGCCATCTGCAGAACAAGAATGGGAGTATCAAAGGCCAGTCACTGACCCTATGTGCTCACTCACTTCCCAGGATGGGGATCACTTACCCAGGCCCAAAATGAGGCAGATGAGTAGAAGAAGACCAAGGTCACAAGACAGTAAATGGCCTGCAAGCAGACACAGGATCAGGCTGGGATCAAAGCTACCCTAAACCATGGACCTCCCTTGACTCTGACCAAGAATTAGGCCAGGCTGTGGAAGAAGATAGGTTGTCTCTTATAAGGTTGGGGAAAAAGAGATCTGTTTCCCAAGTCCTGAGTACCCAGACTACCCTCTGACACATCAGCCTAGGAAAGAACCCTCTGTATTTGGGGTGTTAGGGCTCTCAAGTCCATCCTCATTTTGTTGTTCTGTTTTGACTACTCAATATTTTCTCTGTATAGTATCTATTCTTTTTTTTTTTAATTAGAATTTTCTTGTAAAGTCTTGACTCTCACATACCACCACCACCACTGCTGCTGCCACCACCAAACAGAACTGAGGACTATGGGACTTGGGTAGGCACAGAAACAAGGAGGCAGACACTTACATTGGCCCCCAGTATGATCCTCAGGTAGAACTTGAGGGTCTCTCTGTTCTCTTCAAATATTTGCTTCTTCCCTCTTGTCCCCACTTTGCCTTTGGGCTGCAGAAAAATGATGACCTGCTTGTCAGAGCATTCCTCAGCAGGGTCCTCTTCACCCTCCCCACCAGATTGGTTAGCTACAGAGTTCCAGATGCACCTGGGCAAGGTCCCCACAGTGCTCAAACCTAACACAATCCTTGGGATGTCTACCCCTCCTCCAGTCAATCTTGCTTAGGGCTGAAACCATCTTTCCAGCAACCCCAGCTATGATCTCCTCCTGTACATCCTCAAACAATCCAATGCTAGGTTGATATCGCTTGGCTTTCCTGGTAAGGTGCAGCTTTGGACTGATGACCCCTTCAAGGGGAATTCCTGAGTGCCGCTGAATAGTGCCCCTCTCCGGCCTCGGCTGAAGTAGACCAGATCTCGGCTGAGGTCCACACCCTTCAGGTCCCTCAGACCTTTGACCAACTCTGGTACTGTGTGATACTGACGCCCACCCCCACTCCGGCACCAGTTCTGGTACGGTCCTGCGCCGCTCCCTTCCACCCCCCTCCATCTAGTACGGTCCGGCCACTGAATGGCGCCTCCCTCTCGCCGACCCGCTTCTCTTGATAGTCTTCTTGTTTTCAGACTCCCGGCCCTGGGAGCGCTTTGCCGATGAGGACCCACCCTCCCCGCCCTCCTTACCGCCATGGTGAGATAAAAATACTCAGTCAGGGAAACAAGGGATAGCGAACGAAACCCGTCACTAGGTACCACATCGACAGCACAGGCACTTCCGGTGCAGACCCAAATCGTCACAACTGGGACGGAAATGGGTGGTCCGCTTCCTTTCCTAGCCCCGCCCCTAGAGGCCGTGAGACTACACTTCCCAGATGCCTTGCGCGGGGGCGGAGGCGGCAGGGATGCGATGGCGGAGTCGCTGCCCCTGGAGGTGAGAGGAGGCCGCCCTCAGGCCTAGCTCTGGCCAGGCCCCGCCTTCGGGGTCCCGGGCTGTGGGGAGGGGCTGTCAGACAGTTCTCCGGGTTCCGCTAGCCAAGCGGAAACGACCCGCCTGGGAAATCATAGGATTTGCCTGGTAATGGCCCCCACCTTTGGGCCACTCCATCCCCTTAGTTGGGGGACATCTTCTTCCCCATCGGCCCCAGGAGATGGCTGTTTGTCACCTCAGAGAGGACTGGGCCTCTGCCTACCCACCTTCTCTTGAGATGGCCGCCCCTACCCCTCAATTCTGGAAGATGTCTGCTCCATCCCATAGTCCCAAAGGGTAACCGGTTTTATCCCATTGGCCCCTTGGGATGACCGTTCTATTCCCTCCACCTCGAAAGATGGCTGTCCCTTGTCTCCGGCGGTGGGAGACAGACCGCCTCTCCTATTAACTCCGGGCATGATCGCTGAATTCTGTCATCGAAGACAGGGCTGCTCCCCATTCCCTCTGTCCCCAGTGATGGCCGCCCCTACCTCCTTTGCCTCATGGGATGTTTGCCCTCCTCCTTAGCTTGAAACATGACCTCTCTGCTGCCGTTATTCAGAGTGATAACAGGTTTTGACCCTTCCATCCTTTTTTGCTCAGAGAGTTGGCCTCTTCACTGCCCACAGGAGACAGGGCATTCTTTCCCTATCAGCCCTGGAATAGGGCTCTCCTTCCCCTTAGCAAAAATAGGATCCCTCCCACGCTGTTGAGCCCCATGCCATGGCATCCTTTTCCCATTTGTCCCCAGAGGTTATCTACTTCATCCCTATAGATCCCAGGAATGACTAATCATACCTCTAGAAGTCCCTTGGGATGGGGTTCATGAGATGGCCACTCCATATTTATCACTTTTTCCTCTGGTCCCTTTAGAGAGGCCACTCCCCTTCTCAGCTCAAAGAATCCCCTCAGTGAGGACAGGTTTTTTTGCCCTCTACCTTTGATCCTTGGGTTGGCTGCTGGGCCCCAGAAGACAGGATGGGGTTGGAAGCTTGGTCATTCCCAGTCCCCATCAGTGTTCTCTTCCCCATATCTAGCCTTGCTGGCCCAGAAAGCTTTTCTCCCCAGTCATTTTCTCAATAATTGATCTGTTTTATCTCCCCACCCTGAGCAAACCTTTGGTGAAAAACAGAGATAGAGGACTATCCATACTTAATTCAATCCAGTGAGTACTTGCTGAGCACCTTTTGTATACTAGGGATGAGAGAAGAAAAGATCAGAATGAGCTGATGAGGTCAAGCTTGAGAAAGGCATTCCAGGAAAGAGGCCTACATAGGCAAAGGAAATGGACATGCTGTGTTTGTAGGACAGTGGGGAGACTGGATTGGGGAAGCTCTGGGATCAGGGGTCCAGTTGGACATGGAGGCCTGGCAGTACTGACCCCAAGAGTGGAGATTGTGTCCTGGGGGTACTGGGATACCCTGAAAGTTTTTATCAGGGGAGTGCTGAGACTTAAAGCTGTTTTTTAGGAAAATTAACCTTATTGCAGTGTGCAGAATGATTAGCAAGGATAATCCTGGAGACATAAATTTCAGGTGGAAGATTGTGTAAGGATTCCAGGTTTGGAATGATGAAAATCTAGGCGACTAAGTAAAGTTTCAAAGGTAAAAGTATTAGTAACAGCAATCCAGCAACCATTTATGGAAAACCTACTAGGTGTCAAGCACATCATACTTATTAAGTTTATATATATAATTATATACATATAAATATCCCCATAAGACTGTGACCTAGATTTTCTAATATCCCCATTTTACAGGTATGGAAACTGAGACTCAGAGAGGTCAAGTACCCTGCCTAAGGTCACACGTTACACAGCTAGAAAGTAGTGGAGCTGGGGTTTGAATGAGTCTAAGTTAGCCTGGCCTAAAGCCTGTGCTTTACACCTGTATCTGAGAGCAAGGGATAGAAGAGCATGATGAGTACAAAGTATTATCAAAATCTTCAGATGAGATGTACTGTTGGCATTGAAGCTCAGGCACTAGAAAGTTGGTAGGTAGGGCTGCTTTGGACTGAGGGCAGAATATGAATTCTGGTTGACATGAAGATGATGGTAAAATATTTAGATGAAGGCTTCTGTGGACAGTTGACAACACTGGACTAAGTAAGATAATTCAGGTATATTGAATTGTTGGTTATTCTTATAGAGGTAACTGTTGAAGCCATGCAAATGAGCTTATTATCCTAGAATGTAAACAGATTGAAAGACCCAGGTCCAAGCCCTGGGAACCACAGAAGAATCCAGAAACAGGGCAATTGGAGTGGTGAGTGGAGCCCTAGAAAACACAATGTTACAGGAATCAAGGAAGGGAGATTCCAGAAGAGAAGAAGAGTTAATATCAGATCATTCCTGGCCTCACAGGAGACTCCCTTCCCAGTTCCCTATAATAGGGCCTCCAACCTCATCCCCCCAGCTTCATAGAGCGTAAGTGGAGCGAGGGCCTGAGCCTCCCAAGCTGGGACTTGCTGGAATCATATCTTACCAGATGAGGAGGCAAGTTGGCAGTGAAGAAGATGGGAAAAGAGTGGGTTCCCAGAACCTGACCTATGAGGGTAGGGGGAAGGGGTGTAACTTCCTGAAAAGCAAAGGAGGAGCACTTGACTTGCTGTGTGCTAGTTCCTCTGCAAGACATGTTATTTAATTCTTGCAAAAATATGTTTAAATTTTACTACAACTGCCATTTTGCAGATAGGGAAAACAAGGCTCAGAGAGGTCAGTTGATAGAGTAAGGATTTGAATTAGGTTTATCTGGTCCCAGTGCCTAAGCTCTTTTTACCAAACTGAGCAGGATGTTTGATTTTTATCAGTTTGTACAATCCTGCATCCAGATAATGCTTAGGACAGGTTTGTTCACAGTAAAGATACGTGGGAGGTGTTGAGGGGACATGAAGACTCTGTGAAGCTTAGGATCCAAGATGAACTAGAAGCCAGTGCTCTAGTCCCCTCAGACCTACCGTGCTATCAGTTAGAGAAAGTTCCCAGCCCTGGCCGGTTTGGCTCAGCAGTTAGAGCGTCGGCCTGCGGTCCTGAGAGACCCGGGTTCGGTTCCCGCTAAGGGCGCGTACCTCGGTTGCAGTTTGTCCCCGGCCCTGGTCGGTCGTGCGGGTGGCAGCCACTCGATGTGTTCCTTTCACATCGATGTTTCTCTCTCTCTCTCTGTTCCTCTCTCTCCCTCCCACTCTACCTGAACAAAAAATGGAAAAATGTCCTCGGGTGAGGATAAAAAAAAAAAAAGAGAGAGAAAGTTCCCAAAGCCCCAGCTCTAACAGCCCCCAATGCCCTCTCTTTTTCCCCTCAGATGCTCACATATATTTTGAGCTTCCTGCCTCTATCAGATCAGAAAGAGGCCTCCCTCGTGAGTCGGGCTTGGTACTGTGCATCCCGGAATGCCCTTCGGGAGGTAAGGTACCCACCCTCACCTGGCCCATTCTCAGTTGTCTCTTGTCAGCTTGCTCATGGCACTGCTCATACATCATCCATCCATTTATTCATCATACATATATAACATTTGTACATACTTGCCTCTGGGTGCAGTGCTGGGATTATGCAGACGACTAAGACACAGCCCCTCCCCTGAGGAACCCATGGTCCATTGGAGAAAAAAGACAAGTACAGTGATACCTTGGTTCTCGAACATAATTCGTTCCAGGAGGACGGTCGAGAACCAAATTGTTCGAGAACCGAAGCAATGAAACCCAATAGGAAATAATGGAAACTGGATTAATTCGTTCCAAGCCCCAGAAAATGCCTATTTACTGGCCTAATTTGTATATAATATGTAGAAAAACATAAGTCTCAACAAGAAATAAAAGTGTACAGTATGTCTAAGGGTTAAATTCAGTGTAAAGCGTGACTCTCTCCACAAAGCGTGACTCTCTCCACAAAGCGTGACTCTCTCTCTGCACTCACACTGATGACGCAAGCAAGGCGCGCTGGGCCGAATGAACGCCATTCGGCTCAACTCGGCTCATCTCGGAAGTTCGAGTTCCAAATATTTGTTCGGATTCCAAGACAAAAGTTTCTCGAATCTCCTGGTCGAATACCGATTTGGTCGAAATCCGAGGCGTTCGAGAACCGAGGTATCACTGTACTCATAATATCATATGCTCAGTGCTATGACACTGGAATGAAAGGTGCAATGGGAACATGAAGAAGGACATCTGAAGGAAACCTGCAGCATTGGGGAGGGCTTCCTGAAGGAATAGGATGAGGATGAAGGTTGGCCTTTTCAGGACTGGTAGCAGCACAGGTGAAGGCACCAAGGTGTGGAATAGTTCTGGAGATGACCACACAAGTTCCCTATGACTGGAACGTAGATGTGTGTGGGACACATGGTGGGAGATAAGGTTAGAAAGGGGTCAGACTACAAGCTGGCAGATGTGCCAGGTGGCATTGCTGAGGCTTTCTCCTGGTTGCCATCCTGGAGCCTTTAAAGGACTGTTAAGACTAGGGAGTGACATAGGGTGATTTGTGTCTTAGAACTCTGCAGTGTAGAGTGGGCTGGAAAGGGCAAGTCAGAATGTAGAGAGACAGCCCAGCTAGGAGGAGAATGCAGACATCTGTCCTAGTTTGAAAGGCAAGCAATAGTAACTCCTTATTTTAATTTTTACTTTTTTTTTTTTTGGTACGTGCCCCTAGCGGGAACCTAACCCGGGACTCTCTGTTCCACAGGCCAATGCTCCAACCGCTGAGCCAAACTGGCCAGGGCTTTACTTCTTGATTATTTCTGAGGTTGAATAGTTTTCTCATTAGCTGACCATTTATATTTCCCTCTTTTGTTTATTTGTGTTCTTTATCCATTTAACTACTGGGCTTTAGTGTTTTTCTTATTTCTTTGTATGAACATTTTATACATTAAAGAGATTAATCACTCTGGCTGATGTTGCTCAGTGGTTAGAGCATCAGCCTTTCCATCAAAGGGTTGTGGGTTTGATTCCTGGCTAAGGGCATGTACCTGGGTTGCAGGTTCTATCTCCTGCCATGTGGGAGCAAACCAATCAATGTGTCTCTCTCATATTGATGCTTCTCTCTCTCTCTCTTCCTCTACCTCCCTTCCACACTCTCTAAAAACTAATGGAAAAAAATACCCTCATGTGAGGATTAACAAAAAAGAAAGAGAGAGAGAGATTAATCTTTACATATTTATTGAAATATATTCCTAGCATGTTCGCCTTTTAATTTGATTTGTAGATGTGTGTTTATTTATGAGACACAGAAGTTAAATTTTGATGTTGTTGATTTTGGACATCTTTTTCTTTCTTATTTCTTCCATTGCTTTTTTTTTTTAATCCTCACCCAAGGATATTTTTCCATTAACTTTTAGAGAGAGTGGAAGGGAGGGAGAGAGAGAGAGAGAAACATCAATGTGAGAGAGACACATAGATTGGTTGCCTCCTGCACAACCCCAATTGGGGCTGAAAATCAAACCTGCAACCCTGGTAGGTGCCCTTGACTGGGAATCGAACCTGTGACCCTGCAGTCTATAGACCAACACTCTAACCACTGAACCAAACTGGCCAGGGCTCCATTGCCTTTTTTTTTTTTTTTTTTTTTTTTTATCTTCACCCGAGGACATTTTCCCATTTTTTTGTTCAGGTAGAGTGGGAGGGAGAGAGGGGAACAGAGAGAGAGAGAGAGAAACATCGACGTGAAAGGAACACATTGAGTGGCTGCCACCCGCACGACCGACCAGGGCCGGGGACAAATTGCAACGAAGGTACGCGCCCTTAGCGGGAACCGAACCCGGGTCTCTCAGGACCGCAGGCCGACGCTCTAACCGCTAAGCCAAACCGGCCAGGGTGCCTTTTTTTTTTTTAATCCTCACCCGAGGACATTTTTTCATTTTTTGTTCAGATAGAGTGGGAGGGAGAGAGAGGAAGAGAGAGAGAGAGAGAAACATCGACATGAAAGGGACACATCGAATGGTTGCCACCCACACGACCCAACCAGGGCCGGGGACAAACTGCAACCGAGGTACATGCCCTTAGCGGGAAATGAACCCAGGTCTCTCCAGACCGCAGGCTGACACTCTAACCGTTGAACCAAATCGGCCTGGGCTCCATTGCCCTTTTTTTTTTTTTTTTTATCATCCTCACCCGAAGACATTTTTCCATTTTTTGTTCAAGTAGAGAGGGAGGGAGAGAGAGGAAGAGAGATGTTTCTCTCTCTCTCTTCCTCTCTCTCCCTCCCACTCTACCTGAACAAAAAAAAAAGGAAAAAATGTCCTCGGGTGAGGATAAAAAAATAAAAAATAAGAAAAATAAAAATAAACTTAGAGATTCCTTGCCTCTTCAGAGAGTTGATAAATATACACTCATGTTTTCTTCTGGTTTTTTTTTATTGGACTTCATTTTTGTAGAGCAGTTATATGCTCATAGAAAAAAATGTTTCTTGTTTTGCTGTGTGAATCTTTATACTATTTTTTTTTAATTTTAGTTTTTATCCTCACCCGAGGACATTTTTGCATTTATCTTCAGATAGAGCGGGAGGGAGAGAGGGGGGAAGAGAGAGAGAGAAACATCGATGTGTGAGAGATACATCGACTGGTTGCCACCCATGCGACCCCAACCGGGGCCGGGGATAAACTGCAACCGAGGTATGTGCCTTTAGCAGGAATCAAACCCAGGACTCTCTGGTCCGCAGGCTGACTCTCTAACCACTAAGCCAAACCGGCCAGGGCTATACTAATTGTTTTTATTGGTGAAATTATTTTGATTTATGCTATGAGGTAGAAGCTAAACTGATTAGTTTTTAATTAGTCCAAATACAATTTATGTATAATCTTTCTTTCCCCTTCCCCACTGGATTAGAACCCTTCTCTGTCAAATATTAAATGTGGAGGACCTGTTGTCGAGTTATTTATCCAGTGTCATTGAGCTAACTGTCTAAAGGAATTTGATTTGGACTTGTTTAAAACTTGAAGTGTGAGATGTCTAGATGGTAAAATCTAGTTGGTAGTTGGATTTCTGGTGGGTGAGGAATCCAAGAAAAGGGTCTGGACAATAAATATACATTTGGGTGTCATTAGAGAATGGGTGGAAGTTGAAGCCATGGAAGTAAATAAATTCCCTCAAGGAGAGCATGAAGAGCTATAGGAAAAGCAGGCCACAGAGAATGAATGCCCAAGGGCGCAGAAAGGAGGAGAAGCCTACAGAGGGGACTGAGGAAATTCCAACAAGAGGAGGGCCCAGAAGTCAAAGGCAGAGAGCACTTAAAGTGTCAGGTGGAGCATTAACAGTGTCAAATCCCATGAAGAGCCTAGAAAATAAAGAACAGATAGTATCCATGATGTTTGACATCCAGGGAGGTCACCAGTGACTTCAGCAACCTATGGCATTCAGGGGGGAAAAGCCAGATGGATTGAGGGGTGAATAAGAGAACAAAGGAAGTGTAGAGAGTGACCTCACTTGCAAGACATTTCCCAAAAAAAAGGATGAAATAAATAGGGCAATAATGAGAGGTTGAGGTTGGCCTGACAAAAAGATTTTAATTGGGAGAAATCTCAAATGTGATTATACTTTGAAGGGAGTCACTAGAGGAGGAGTGAGTGTTGGGAGGAGAGAGGTCAGGAATGGTGGCTGCCACCTGAGGTGGTGGAAGAAGCTGGCTTCAGTGTGCAAGGCTTGGTCTTTGATAGGATGGAGAGGATGTCACCTCTCCTCCTCAGGAAGTGGAGGGGTGGAGGTGACAGTGTAGAGCCATTTGCTGAGCAAGTTGCTCAGAGGCTAGTGGGCTCTTTGTTCAGTGAATTTGGAGACCAAGTTATCTTAGGGGAGTAAGAAGAAAAGTGAAATCCGGGGCTTCAGCAGAGAGGTTTGGAATATATAAAGGGTAGAAGGAAGATGGAAAGTTACCAGAGACACATGGAAAGGCCTCACTCACTCAGATGTTGATGCTGCCTATCTGTGCCTAGCACTGTGCTGGGCCCTGAGGGTGCACGCCTGAGGAAGACAGCACTCAGGAGCTGGTAGTGAGATGGAGTCAGCAAAGTCAAAATGAGAGGATACAGTGCTGCCCTCAAAGTCTCTCGAGGCACACCAGCGATGCAGAGAAAAAATTCAGAAAAGATTTCATGGAGTAGGGGATGCTTGAGCTGAGTCTTGAAAGAAAAATAAGCCCTGGCTGTTTTGCTCAGCAGTTAGAGCATCAGCCTGCGGACCAAAGGGTCTCAGGTTCAATTCCCGATCAAGGGCACATATCTGGGTTGCAGGTTCAATCCCCAGCCCTGGTCGGGGTTGTACGGAAGGCAACCAATGAATGTGTCTCTCTCATATCAATGTCTCTCTCCCTCCCTCCCACTCTAATAAAAATAAATAAATAAGAATGAAGAATAAATATTTGCTAAATAGACAAATAGGACTAGTTGAGGGGTGAGACTCCCCCCCCCCCAACACACATACA